TTGCGATGTGTTTCAACGATCATACAATAAATTTCAGGACTGGCGACCACCTCATTTTTAAACGACCTCGTTCGGTGTGATAAATCTTTTGGCATATCATATCAAATATCAGCTCAGAGTGTTTATTTTGCAATTTACTATTCACACAAACTTTCTATTGCTATTTTCGACTGCTATTATATAACAGGATCTCGAGATCTCTTTTATGATTTATTTTGCTTGCCAAAATTAGATGGTGATAAGAAAGTTTTCTCTCGATTCAGCTTTTTATCTAGGTCAGAACAACAAAATTGATTGTCCACATAGTAGACTGTTTTGTGTCACTACGAATAGAAGCAACCGAAAAAAAAAACGTTTCCACAAATATTCCAAAGACAAGGCAAACTAACAGACAAAGTTGTTGGTATAGGAAAAATGAATAAACAATAGTTATACTTTATCTGAAGTCACTTGAAACACTGTGAAATACCGGGTGCGTTTTATATATCTATATTTAACACGCTCTGTTGCTGCAAAAATCGCCAAATTTCGCAGCAAATATCCCCCGTACAAGATCAAAGGCAGTTTCACCGGTCCACGTGGAGTAAAGCACGCCTATGCGTGGACATAGCCAATGAGAAAGCGTGTATTTCAGGGCTCCGAACAAGTGCAGGTAGCTACTGAAAATTGAAACAGTTTAGCCAGTGCCGTGTAGCGGTGAATAAATGTGTTTTCTTTTGTCTGTCCGTGTTTTTTCATAGATTTTATTAGTTTGTGTGTTTTTGACTTTTGAATACTCAGTTTACTTGTTGATTTAATTGTTGTGTTGATTGTTCTTGTGTGTCCTAAATATGGCTCTTTGGAGACCTTGGGAAAATGCTCCAAGCCACGAGGAGATGGTTGATGAACCTGTGCAGGCAGAATTCTTTCATAAAGATTTAGAGGAACAGACCCAAAGAGTAATCCTAAACATGTATGATTGTCTGAAAAACAAAAATCCAGATTCATCGCAAAATCAAATTTTAAACAGAATTTGTATCCTGACAAAAATCAGTCGGTCTACCATTTATCGGGTTATAAAAAGGGGAGATGTAGTCAACCATTCCTTCCACAGAAAGCGCATAGGGCAAAAATTAAAAAGAATAGACGTGGGTTTTCAGGAAGATATTCGTCGTATAATATACGGATTTTATAAAGAAAATTTGGTGCCCACGTTGGAAATGATATGGGATAAATTAAAAGATTATCCTGAAGATTTTTATAATTACAAATGCTTAGACTCACTGCACTGTATTGTAAAACTGTGTGGTTTTCAATACAAAAAATTAGATAAAAGAATGGTGATTATGGAGTCGTCTCGAATTGTTGAATTGCGCCAAGAATTTTTGCACAAAGTTAAAATCTATAGAGAGCAGAAAAGAAATCTGATTTACCTGGATGAAACGTGGTATGATACCCATGATGTTGTCAGTACGGCTGGGTTGACGACAGCAACAAGTGCATTTTAAATGCACCATGCAACCGTGGAAAACGAATAATTATTCTCCATGCTGGCAGTGAAAATGGATTTATACCTAATGCCTTGCTGTTATCTGCCAAAAATATCAAAGAATCATGTGCCGACTATCATGAGGACATGACCTCCGACTTATTTGAAAAGTGGATAGAGCAGCAGTTAATACCAAACATTTCCCCAAATTCAGTGATTATTATGGACAATGCGCCATACCATTCCCGACAGAAAAACAAAATTCCGAATACTGGCACAAAAAAACAAGACATTATTGATTTTATGAAGGATAAGGGAATGGAAATACCACAAAAATCAACCAAAGCCATATTATTGGATCTTATTAAAAGACAAAAATTTGAAAAAGAGTATGTTGTTGACAATCTGCTTCAGCAAAATGGCCATGAAGTATTACGTCTACCTCCCTATTACTGCATTTTTAACCCGATTGAGTTGGTCTGAGCTGCTTTAAAAAAAAAGTAAGAAAACATAATCAGACCCCTCAATTAAGTGAATCGCTATTGGCCACAATAAGAGATGCAGTATCTCATATTGCTGCCACAGACCTATGGAAGCAGTGTTCTAAGCATATTATTGAAAAAGAAAATGAATATTGTGTTTTGCCTCCTGTAAATCCCGTTGTAATTCCTCTACAAGATGACTCTAGCGACAGCTCCGAAGGCGAGGATGATATATAAATACCTATAATGTAAGTCTTTATATACCTTTTTATATACCTACCTGCTATGTAAATATTTGCCTATGTCAAACGTTGGAATTCTGTAATTTTTCCATTTCTTAACTTTCAGTCAACATAAATTAAACTCCCAATATAAGTATTTTTTATCCCAAATCAAAAAAATAAGAAGATAGTAAAATCCATTTATTGTGATATAAAAACATTATTATTATCGTTCTAAATAAATGACCGCACGCCTATGATACGTCATGAAATTACAAAGGACGCGCCGACCAAAGGTTTTTATGCTATTTCAAATGACTTCAGATAAAGTATACATACATACTTTAAAATGCGCAGCAGTTACCGTTACCACGTTTCATGGGCAACCATGGGAGGGAAGGGATAGGAGAGACATAACCCCTTAGCTTCCACTGGACAAGTAAAATATTCTTAACGGGATACCAATTTTTTGGACAACCACTGTCCTGTGTTTTTGTTGCTCTTTAAATCATCCCTATATATAAGGTCAACTACCCAGTTATTGGTACCTTATAAGGACATGTGTGTCTAATTTGCTCAAAAAGTATAGTTTAAAACTGTTTATATTTATTTAACTAAACCATGTCCAGTATATTCAGAAGAGTGCCATTTTTGAAACGATAACATTTTTCAATACTGTAATACAAAAGTAAGCATTTTACAGCACTTTTTATAGAAAAATTGCAATTTTTCTAGTAGTTGGCCTATCAATGAAATATCATTTTGCCAGTTATTGGCCACTGAACATTAACGTTTCGAAGCTCTGTCTGGAAGCGACTATGGAAATAGTTTGCTCGTCGTGCCTGTTCTGGTGAATAATTAAAACCACGTACAAATATGCTTCAGGGTAGATAGACATCGTACCAGTTCGGCTTGTTCGATAATTTCTTTCAACTTACAAATACGGTAAATTGAATGGTTTAATATTTGATAAGTGTGAATTTGTTGCGGTCTCTATTATGTGGCAGTATAAACACGATGGATCAGGGAGTGAAAAACATAGGATTAGCCTTATGGGTTAGTAACAGCTACAAGTCTTATGAATCATAAATGACTTTTGGATAATGGGGACATATTAAAAAAATAAGCAAATGACCACGTCCACAGACTAGACCTTGTCATTCCAAGGAAAACAACTAAAAGCAACTTTTTCTAGTTTTCAAATTTTGGCTGTGAACTAAACTGTAAAGTTGCACTTGGTACTTATTTTACTTAAGCGCAACAGTCCGTTTGAAGCACCATCTTTTATCTAATTAGAGTTTTCTGTAGGATTTCTTCAGAGTAGCCTGTCGCGTGCTTTTTTCAGAATTCCAAAATTTATCTGTCTCGTAATGAAAATTGATGGGTAGGTCAGGTGAAGTAGTAGTAGTAGTAGTAGTACAGAGCGCTGTAGAAGCGTTGGTGGGCAAATTAAGCTACGCTAACCACTACTGTAGGTATAATTTATCAATCAGGAATATGAGAAATCACAAAGACATTATTATGTACATACTTGGAAATTTGCAAAAATGCAATGAATAATGTGAAGTATGTTTTGAAAATCATGGTGTGCCAATAAAGAAATATATATATATATTATATAATGTGCATACCAAAGATTGACCGTCACTGTCATTGAGCCGTATTCATAAAAGAAAGGATATCCTTGTACTTGCAAGTTTTGAAGGAAATCCTCCAGATGGTATTTATAATAATTTGAAGTAAATAATAATAATAAGTTTATTCACGTAACATACAAATATAACTAAAACTAACATAGGTATACGTAAATAAACTGAATTTACCCACAGAAGAATAAATTCTTGTGCGTGGGTATTAACTTACATTTTTACATAAAATGCTTTTGCTTTTTGAGTATAAGCATATCCTTCAAAGCAGTGACATAAGCAAAAGGATATTCATCTTCACCTTATACTTGGCATAGGAAATATATTCTTCAAAAATTCTAAGTGTGGTCAGTAGCACCTTTTTCTCCGAAGCATAACCTTATACTTTTACCTTATGCTTCCGAGGATATGTTGCTCTTTTATGAATACGGCTCAATGACTTGCTATAAGCACTTTTTCCTTGCCATTAGTTAGCATCTTTTTATAAATGTTAAATGCGATTAGATGTTTAAAAAGCAAACAGTTGCATATAGCTACACACATGTTGCTTATTCCCGTTAGGAAATATCTATAATTTCGCACTGATTTCCAATATAAAATGAATACGAATCTATATAATAATTATTGTGAAACCATACTGTACTTTTCTTTTGAGTAAGCGGAAAATCTTGGCTAAAATTACAACTGTTACTAAAATCAACTTCAAAAAAGAAAATTAATAACCGGCATAGATAAAATAAGCCTAATTAAAAAATGGTACTCCTACAGCGTGTTTAATAAAAGTCGTAAAACAGCCACAGCTAAACCTACCTCCCTACTAGAGATTTCTAGAAGATACTTTTTTTTAATTACAATTATTCACCTTGTTTAGGGCAGCACGTCACGTCACACTGAATTACTCATTAACACTAAAACAATAGTGCACGGTAACTCTGTCGGGCTATGACAAGACGTTGCCCCATTTTTTTCAAAAGACCAACAATAACTTATTTTATTTGATGCATGAATGAAGTAAAATTGTCCGAAGTGCCAATAACTGGCTGAGGGCCACCGATTGGGGTGTTTACCCTAGAAGTTACTTTTATCCCACCACTTTGAATACCTGGAAACTACGTTTCTATCTGGTTTCCTAGGCCTGTAAGCTTAATAGGTACTTTGAATGAGAAGAAGAAAACCTCAAGAATAAAATAAAAACTTTATTTTAATCGAAATAATACATTTACCTATTCTACAAACTCATTCAAATACCAAGTTAATTCAGTGAAACGTTTCTAAATTAAGTCTGTTGTTTTACCACTACTTTCCGTAGACATTACAAAAACATAAGGTCAATGCTATTCTGAGTTTTGTAATTTTACTGTACCGTATCGTCAGTAGTTCCTACAATTATTGTACAACACCTTTATGGTCTCCTTGATTTTCATAGTTTTTCCTGCGCCCTAGTTTGAGGTTATGTTACAAATATCTATTTGCATTGAATTGTTCATGCTTTTGATTTATATCATCTGTTTTATCAGCTTGAAATCCCCTGCAATTCAAAAAGAAAACTGACGCTGACGCTGATACTGAACAGTAGGAATCTAGAAATACTCCAGCATTTCTGAAGGAGAGAATAGACTATGAGAATCAAGACGTCCTACAATTGTAGGAACTACTGACGATACAGCCCGTAGATCCATTCTGAATCTGAATCGAAAATCCGTAGGATGGATTTATCATAAAAGAAAATGATTTCAGAAATAATTTTATATTTCTCCACGTTCAAGAAAAAGCTACTCGTCTCGGTAAGATGAAGAATGTCGTCGTTAACGTTACTATCATCTTTTATCTATCATTTGTTTTCAATAGTTATCATGTACAGGTGTTGCATAATAATTGCTTTTGCTTCAGAAAACCTCTTTCTTAATTATCCTTTTTTTTTCATTACTTTTACTGACCGCTTATAACTCAGTATTTTGGATATTTACATTCTATTCTAGAATGAGAGGTTATCAGTTTGAATAACGGAAACTATATAGAGACGTTTCACTAAATTCGGTATTACTTTCTCAAGTATATGTATTTTGTTGGTCGGGAATTAAGGAAAGGAAAACTCAATTTTATAAAAAAAATAATAATTATGTTCGAACCAACACTCATGATATTGGTAATATTCACAAAACATTGCTGAAGATGATTTTTCTGTAATTGAACAATTAACTCATCAATCAAGTATAGCATCGCTCCGTTATTCAGCCTGTTGTCAACTAATATTCTGGACAAATATTTCTGAATCAAAAACCTTATTCGGCTTTGTTTTAAAAAACTTTTCGGAGTGCCCTAGTCCCCATATTTCTATTGAAAGACCAACAAAATACACGTGTCTACTAAAATAACTCCTAAATACCTCAGAACTAGTTTTTTAAAAAGTATTCTGTGGAACTGTAGTTTATAGTGAAGAATCGATTGTGTATCTTCAAAATAACACGGCACTAAATATTCCATGTGTATATTTTAGTTGAGTCTGTTTGGTGAATCTGACGCTAAATGATGCGAACTAGTAAGTTGAAAGATGAAACAAACATTATTTTTGTCTCACTCATCATTCGAATGATTTGTATAATAACTTGAATAATATATAATAGCTCTTTTTTATGTTAACGAAAATGTAAATATGGCCACTAAAGGGCCTATATTCAGAATCACATAGAAACTGGAAAAGGCCATATCAGAAAAGGATGAACAGAATCTTTAGGTTTGAGCGATTTTATATTTATATATGCATTCTCTGCAAAACTTTGTACCACTTCTGTACAAATCAATCGAAGTTTGAACAATAAGCACTTTATACATAAATAAACTCTTAATGTTGGTTTTATCTAACCACATACTTATTCTAAAGTGAACCACTGCAAATATGGTAGTTTTCAAAATGTGTTTAAACAGTTATCAAGAATCTACTTCACCTATCACTTAATATACTTTTCTGAAAGCAAAACAAATTTAATAATAGGACATTTTTCTGTTTCATTTTAACTCTAGACATGAATAATTCCAGAAGCTTCACGTTTGTTTGTGAAATGCTATGCAATATATAACAAATAAATAGGTATTAATATGTAATAACATTTTATGGTATAGATCTCTGTCTTACTATTGCCACTATTTTGATTTGCCACTCTAAATTATTCTATAATCAATATCAAAAAACGAAGACTTTGGGTGTGTTTTGCTTTCAGAACAACCTATACTACGAAGATATATTTTTCTCTATATACTTGATAAAAATTGGTGCTACTGTTATACAGCGATAGGTGCAATTCCAAAGGGTTTGTATTTATATGACTACACTTTGGGGATATTCAAATATGTCAAATAAAAGATATCTCACAGGATTACAGTTGTTTCAAAAAAAGAAAATGAAAACAAAATTAATTCAAGACATAATAATATTCAGATGTACAAAAAACGTATTAGGTTAATTGTAATTACGTAGCTTTTACGGAATTCAGAGATGTTGAGGATTGATATTTTATAATTCAAACTCAATAAACTAGGCTAGTAGAAACTAAAAATGGCGTTTTCGCGAGGCAAAAACAGAACACAAAGTCATTCACCCTGAAGCCTGAAAAAGATCACGTAAGATATCCTTTGGGTAGGTAATGCTAAAAAATAAACCAAAGTTACTAAAATCTCATCCCACATAGTCACAATTAAAACGATTTCAACATTAGAACAATAACACCAATAACATGTTTATATAAATATATACATATCCAATTGAACAAAAAGCATAAAATATACTTTAACTTTTCACAACTGAATCTGCCTCTGAATTAAAAAAAAGGTATACAAAAATAGAGAATCAAACCATCACAAAAATACTTTAAAAATAATATAGTCATATAGAAAGCCTGTCCTTTATTTCAAATGCTATTGGTTCGTCTATTTTAAAACCGGCGTATCTTTTAGAAAAATCATGACGAAAAAAATTAAACCTGAAAAAATTATAGCATTACGAAAGGTCGCCTTTTCTTCTGCAGTAAAATCGCTTAAGGCGTTATATCTACAGAAATTACATAAATATGTATGAAAGGACATGAACGCAACATTTAAAATTTGTTCAGCTTCCTTAAGGTCTCATGTTTTTAGGTACAAACAGACAATATTGGATCTTGGTAGGAGAAATAACATATGAGATCACATAGTCGTTAGAAAACCTTAAATGTTTTAGACGTCTGCAGCTGAAATAAAAGATCAAACTCTTTGCAGTGTGTTGCCAATTTTTATTGTCTTAATGGATATACCTGCGTTTTCATAGCCTCAGCCAGTTGTCATATTCTATAAATGAATCATTTTTTCATATGTAAGTGTATCTGAATATATACTTCGGAAATATGAAATAAATATGAATTTAATAATTATATTTTTCTTGCCTGAAATGAAATTAATTTCAGAATATAAATTATCCACGCCTCGAATTAAGTCCTTTCCTTCCGATATGCAAGAAACGTCGATCTAGCTACAATGTTGATTCATACTGGCTTAAAGGAGTTGGATAAAGATATGCCCTTTTTCATATACGAGAAATTTGAACGTCTCGATTTAGGCCATTTTCTAATATTTACGTTCAAGTATCTTCACTTACGCCTACAGTAAAATGTTACAAAATAGCTCAAAAAATCAAGTGAAATAAGAAAAAAAAGTAAATGTTAATCTTTCAGGTCTTCCACTTGGCGTAGTTCTTCTCTAAGTGTATTGTACCTGACATTGTGGATATAAATAGAGATATTTGAACTCAATGTAACTATAATAAAATAACCAAAATCGAAACATTAATTTTTCATACATATGATGGATGAAAAAAGGATTTTTACCCACCTCCTTTATAGCTAGAGCTATGAAGTTCATACAAATAGGTACTTTCTATTGGTACAAGCTATTCCCAGATTGTGACAACCAGCTAAAGGACTATTGCCTTCGTTTTTAAATTAAATGGGCAACACTTTGTTATTTCTTAAAGCCAATAGCACGGTTAGATTTGTGCTGTGGCTTACAGAGAAGGAGGATATATAGACCTACATTGTAACTATGAGCGCTTGTTTAACATATGTACGCTGTGTTACCAATGTGTCCATTTTTATATTTTCATCACAGATAGTTACACATTATATACTACTAGATGGCAACTCCAAACTTATCAATGTGCACTTCCGTTTGCAATGAAGAGGTAGTCCAAGTTGCAATTTTCCATTTGTTACTATTCTGGCAGATTTTGAGGGATGTCGACCATAAAGCAGTTTTGGTCAAAAACATTTGCCGGTAAATAGCTATATACTTAACTATCTTTGTTACTCTGTTACTACAAATCTTAAAGTCTTATAAGCTAGTCAGGAGAAAACACTGAATATAGCTCCCGACAAACTTATAGTGTCTGTTTACATTTTTTTAGCGGCGGTCGTTAAACAGCCACAAAACCAAGGGCGATATTATCTGTACTTCGTCTGGACGCACTGCTTAGCTTGTGGAGGTGGTGGCTAATGCGCATTATTTTAGAATCGCTACATTCAAAGCAAGTATACGGAACTATTTGTGCTTTTTACATTAATTCACATTGCTTAAATGCATAACTTATGAAGGCGAACTAGCTTTCATTATTATTTAGACCTGCATCATATAAGGATCATATTATAGACGTGACGGTACCAGAAAGAAGCAGAAAAATTGTAAACAGACACTAAAAGATGCTTTGCCTCCCGGACTTTGAAGACTTTATGGAAGATATACATTACACAGGTTGTCCCACAATAACATGTCAGTTTTGCGAATGCATATACACAACACAAAAATAATACAAGTTATGAAAAAATGTTTTGAAGAGACAAAGGCCCCTAAAAAGGACGCCCCTGGAAATTGGTTATCTTAAATATCTTTTGAACGACATTGCATGATTCCACGAAATGTTTACAGCGACATAGCAACCAGTGAATGCCTCACTTGATGGTTTTCACAGAAAATAACTCACTGTAACTCCTGAAAATTAACTTTTAACTGAAAAAATCCACCGTGGTTGGCAAAACATCGTACAATAGACAGTAATTTAAACATATGCGCTTTGAATTAGCGGCCAGTCAAAGCATCTTATGTTGATCGCCAAGGATGAACTAGCAATATTACGATTCATTACACCCTGTATCATTATGGCTAAAATATATATGTTTTAGCTTTTATATTTGCCTTTGTTTTTTTTTTTTAAATTGATGGTTTATAATCTTATAACTTAAGTAATCAATGATTACAGTTATTAGAATTACTATATTTTAAAAATAGCTATTTGGCAGGATTGCTGAAATGTTCAGAAACTAGAGTAGGACTCCAATGTCAGGCCGCATCAAACCACACATGTGTTTAAATTTCTGTTTCTTGCACGACCTTTCCACCACCATAATAGCATTTTTCAAGTACAATAAGAATAACGACAGTATATTTTGTTAATATATCTCTGTCATCCAGGTGACAGTTTTTTATTTCCTTCATTCGTATACCGTGTGTTGCCACAACAGATTTAACGGTCCTGTAATAATCCGAGGTCGCGTGAAACCATCATTACAGGAGGACTTTTGGCATTGTTGGGACGATGGACGAGGGTGACGTGTCTCGTACATTAAAAAAATGACAGATAACCTCATACTCGCTTGTAACTATCTCTCAATTGAAAAAAACCAAGATAATATCGACAATATTCTGAAACCAACCAATTTGCGGGCGTTTTTAATCTCATTTCCAGCATTTACAACCCAAACCTAGTCTCTGTTCTGACGGAGAAACAAATAAAGCTGATGTAGCTGAGCTACGCAGTTAATGTAATTGCTTTCAGTATATCAGAATCGAGAAACCGAGAGAATAAACAAATTTATTACTAGCGTCAAACGACATCCGAAAACGCGAAAACCCACACAGAACTGTTTGGCGATTTAAGGACGATGGGCGACGGTGACATATCTATTGTATTCAAAAAAACGAAAGATAACCTCATGTTCGCTTGTCGGTTTGAGCGGCTGGACGTCCTTCAGGGAGCGGGAACACCTACTACCCCAGGCGATCCTGGGCTTTTTTATTTTATTTTTATTTATTTTGCCATCTTAAATTCGTAATTATGGCTTCTAGCAATTTCGGCACACTATAGGACCGTTCAGTCTGTTGTCACAACATACTGCATAGGAATAAAGAGAAGAAAAAAATGAATGGTCACTTGGAAGACAGATAAACAAAATATACTGTTATTATACCTGAAAAAGATCACCGTGGTGGTTGAAATGCTGTACAGTAATCATGAATTTAAAGATATATATGGTGTGATTCGGTTAGACGATGAAATCCAATGAACATGAAAACCACCTGATAAATTTCAGGAGTTACACAAATAAACAGTCTTTTCTCAAAAACGGTAAACTGTATGGATAGAAAAAAGGAGCATATTTTTCGGCTTTAAAATAAGCTTTTAAAAACGCTATTTTTGACCTATTATTATTCATGGTTGTAAAATGTGATTTAAATGAATTGTTTTCCATGGACACTGTCATATGAGACCCCAAATGGTCCAAAATTTCTTTGAATTAAATAGTGTCGTTAAGTTATTAAAATAGCGATTTCCAGTAGCATCCTTTAGGGGTCTTCTTCTCCGTAGGGGAACCCTGTATCACATTTTTTCATATGAACTTGTAGCATTATTTTTTGTGTTTTATTTGCTTCCTAGATAGGTTGACATGTTATTCTAAGACAATGTGTCATTGTCATCAAGACTGCTGAAACTTATTACTCATTACCGTCACTGTATAAGTATGGGCCGCCAAACGCCTTACAGTTTACATGCCCTCAAAAAAATATAAAACAGAAATGCACATTATTTTCCAAAACACACACGCATTCGCCTCTTAGATAAGATTTTACTTGTATATTGATTTCCTGTTTCACACTCTCTGGACTAGTTTTATGAGTTACAATAGCAGGCTAGTTGGCTATATTGATCACTTTGTTTTCAGGTACCTCATCTTATCTCTTTTCTCGAAACATCCCTATTTACACATGCACTTCCCTCTTCATTAATATAATTCGTACGCATATATATTATTTACTTTTTATATTGCTTGCTACCTCATAATACAGATAATGCCGACTAAATAGCTATTCCACTAGATAAATATGTGCACCAAGTAGCCCACTTTTTCAAAAATATAGGTTTTTAACTAAAATGAGATACTTCAAAGTCCGTCAAATACTAATAATTCAGACCATATAATCATAAATATCCAAATTTAAACAAAAGAAAATTATATCAAGCTAGTTATTTAGCACAGAGTACTATCAGAGGCGACAGCCTGCCAAAAATCAGGTTCTATGAATGCCAACTTCAGTCCTATAGGTTTGGTAGGATTTCCATTGCGGTCATCCGTTACTGTAACATTTAGGGATATATAGAAGGTGTCCGCTAAGTTGAGGTTTTCCTTTACACGACGTGTAGATATTGAGAAAATAGGCGGTTTTTCTTAGTCGCATATACACCAATGTCTTAAGAGAACCGAGATATTGGGCTCCGCAAACTCAAACCTGAACCAAACCTAGGCCGGTCCTGTCCTATCCCCCGATCACGTCCACAGCGCCAGCGCCAACGTACAGTTATACCACGTACGACTACGATGCAAATACGGATTTTACGACAGAGCCGTACTTGTAATTTCAATTCAACTGAACAATCCAAAACATCAGATAAATCTTGATGAAACGTTAGTAAGCTTTCACTTATATATCTAGGGGCTTCATTTGGCGACCCTTATAATAATGAGATTCAGACGGACAAGCGCAGGACAAGTTTCAGATATTAAATTAAGGTGAATTTTGGAATCCAGGCTACTTTCAAAGCCAAATTTAAGGCATGCATTCTTACCCTGTGGAATAGCTAGTGTTCGAAAAATATATTGAACAAGATTTCATCATAATATCAGAACCACTATCTACGCTGATGTGCTGGTTTCTTTAATACTGTTAGTGCTAAAAATACAAGGCGCATTTCTATTATATTCAATATCTTCTCGAAACACAGTTTATCAGGGAGTTGGGACTTTTTGTTATTTTATTTCTATCACAGCTTTAAGGTGGGGGGCAAATTATACAACAGCATTATCCGTATGGCTTCAGAGGTTACATATTTGATCTATAAATATATGCTTCTTAAGGAATATAACATTTGGAATGCTTGTAGTTGTTCTAAATTTTTCTTGCACGGTCATTTCCACTCTTGGTCATAAATATTGCACAATATGCGTTATATAGTCTTGTACAAAAGTATCAGGTGCCTTAAACCATCAGGAAATGTTTTCGAGTCATTTAATTGCCTCTTGATGCAAACATAAATGAATAAAGAATTCCAACGTAATATTTCACAAAATGCTGTAATTTCGGGCAGAATGTTGCAAAAACTCATTTAGTTCATTTTGTAACATTTACGACCCTATAACAACAGTTACTTTGAAACAGATTACGAATTGGAAGCGTCTCTCTATAAACACAGAACACTGAATATTTTGGTTCAAGTTGATAAGATGTACCTGATACTCTTACACAACAACAAAAATAAAGATCAGTATGAAAATGAACGACGTAGAAAAAAACGTGTGCAACACTTCAAAAGCGTTTAAATAGTCGTGGTGTACAGTACTTATAAGTTTCTCACTTTGTGTAATAAATAACTATTCTTTATACATGTTGGTCATTTAGATAAACTGATGTTGAGGACACCATTGATTTTTCTTACCAGATGCATTCATTTTGATGTATGAAGTGCTTCCTGCACGTCAAAAGTTCTTACATTAAAAGGAACAAAATTTAAGTTGACAATCACATAAAATAGATGATAAACATAGTCAGATGGATATGAGATGGGCAATGCAAAATTGCTCAAAGTGTGAAATGAGAACCTAGAGATGTTAAAATCATACCAAACCGAAATGTAATTCAGAAAAGGCGTATAATATTTTGCGTTAGAAGACATTTTGCAGTTTCGCCTTTTCAAAATATACAAGATGATGATTCTTCTGCTTGCACAGATCTCTGGTTTAGTAAAAATCTGTTATTAATACTGAACAGAAAGGCAAACTTTGTAAACTCACTGTACAACTTCTGATCAACTCTACTCCACTACTATCCTGGTTTAAGGTGCTTGACTTTGCCAGAAAACATAAATGTTGTAATAAGCATCAATCTTTATAAAGGCTCAACATACCTGTATGACCTCAATGACTTACAACTTCTTCCATTTCAGACCCTTATATGATATTTCATATTTAACCTATTTCTACAGGGTGGATAATATATAACTGACTGATTTAAATTTCGCGCCATTTTTGATACTGCACTTCAGTTGTTTAAAGCACATGTGTCCAATTCATCATGGAGCGCTACACGATCCCACAACGCGTCCGTAATGTTAAAACGTTTTACTTAAATAATAAGTCGATTGTTGCAACCATTCGGAAGCTACCGTCAAGATTTCGGTCCAAATAATGTGCCCAGTGTCAACACCATTAGTCGTTTGGTGCGGAAATTTGAACAAACAGATTTAAGTTAAAGACTTGTCAAGGTCGGGCCGTGTTCGAACTGTTCATACTCCGGAAAATATTGAGAGAGTTCGTGAAAGTGTAGTGGAGCGCCCTGAGACGTCTACCAGACATCGTTTTCAAGAACTGGGTATCCGTCGCACGTCATTATGCACTATTTTAAAAAAAGACTTGCATTTTCGGCCAAACAAAACTCAGTTAACCCAACAACTACAGCCTAGTGACCATGAAAGTCGCCGACAATACAGTCATGCAATATTGCACCTTAATACCCAAAATAACGATTTTTACCGACAACTGATAATGAGCGATAAAGCCCACCTCGATATGAACGGATTTGATAATAAGCAGAATTGCCGTATCTGGGCATTAGAGAACCATCATGTCATCCATCAAAGACCACAGTTTGGTGCGGTGTTTGGAGCTGCCATTCCAGCAGTAATGTCAACTGGCCACCAAGGTCACCGGATTTAACGGTTCCTGACTTTTTATCGGGAATTTGAAAAATAGGGCTGATGTCAACAAACCAAATACTGTAGAGCAGCTGAAGTGACTGAAAATATTCCTCCCAAAACGTACCAAAAAGTGATGGAAAATGTAATCAAGGGAGCTCAGGTTTGTGCGGCTTCTAGAGGTGGAATTGTCTGATATTATTTTTCATACGTAATTTCTAAGTTTCATTAAAAGATTAAGATGAAAAAAATGGACATATTTTATTTCATTTCATAAATATTCAAGATGCAAACCAGTCAGTTAAATATCGACCACCCTGTATAAAAAGACTTCTTCGTCTTTGTCTCCATACTTTTTTAAGCAACTCGTACATGAGCTATTTGCAAATGATTCAGAATAGAATGCTGCCTATTTCCGATACATATAAATGGGTTCTATTACTCACTTTGTTATGACATCTGACATAACAGATGCTAAAAATGATATGAGAAACATTTAAATACATCAATATACCAAAAACCTCGAATACTGATCTGAGCACCACCACTTCCCGATTCAATAAACACATCTGATTTATCGAATAACAATATAAATAAAAAACAAAACCGTAATTTGGACGGAGAAATATAACTATATAATATAAATCTGCAATCACAGTACTAAATTACCGTTGCACGGAGAGTTTACAACGAATGCCGTATATTAGACAAACAACGTAATACAATCAACAAAAAATAAGAACATGATCACACTGCTATTTGAGTGGAAAGTGTGTTTTTCCATCACAGGTACTAATAGTTTCGCTGGAGTTTTACAACTAACCGATTTACACTTTTGTAACAATCGTTGTGTTAGCGTTTTCCTTTAAGAGTTTCTATATCACAGATGTTTTACTTCTTATAATTCTACGATCTCCCCCGTTCTCTTTTATCTTGAGTTCTACCCACGTTCTCTTTCCATAACAAAAAAGAAATAAAATATTTCTACTGCTGTTCATCTTTCTTTTTTTTTTGTTTGTTGAACTGAACAGATTAATTGTATAACTTAGTTATCATATCTGTTGTATACAGATGATAATACATAATCATACATTTATGTATGTTTGTTATAATGAGGATCTTTAGTAATTACTTGTATTGTGCATCATGTTTAGTGCAGATAAAATATCATGCTATAGTCATACAATATTTGACAAAAATATTAAGCTTCAAAGATCTAACAGAACAAGGTCTAGTTTACAAAGATGTCTCCTTTGGAAATGAATAATTTAGAAATCAATCAATGATAAGCGCAAAACAGAATTCTTCTTACAATGTCTTTAATACTAACAAAGTTCCATCAAATAGGAAACAGGACTTTGACTTGATATGAATAGAGAATAAGACACTGAGCTAGTGGATTTTAAACAGCACAAATTGCAATTAATGATATAAAGTGCATCCTGTTTTTTATTTTGAAAACAGAGAATTAATGATTCCTTGGAACCATTTTTTACATACTGAAAAATATTTCTACCTATATGAATTTCGACATCTCTATAAACTGAGCTAAATTTCGTTAGTCGTACAGCACTAAAAATCCTCATTCGAAAATACGCGTAAACATGATGTGGTTTTTGTTTTTATTATTCTCCAGAATGTTATACTTAACTAGTATAGGTCTGCAAGAACTATAGGTAGGAGATACTCGTCTGAGTCCCCGTCATCAGGATTACTGATTACAGGATGCAGATCGGACAGTTTTACTGGCTTCCATGGCTTTTGCATCCTGACTGGGATATCCTGGAGCAAAGTATTCAATATTATTTGATTACCAGCACAAGTTGGCAAATAAACAACCATGATTTGGACCCCGACACCTGCTTTTTCATATACTCCTACAGGTGCACAATAATACCCAATTGAGAGGATATACACACTACTAAATTGAGGGAGCAAGAAGAAAATCCAAATTTTTAGGTGATTCGTGAGAAGCTGTATTTCGGTGACTAGATTTAAAAAAAGATCATTTTGAAGCTTTAGTTTTCAGGCTTTTTATCCGAAAACTTCACGTTCAATGGTTCTCATGCAATTTTTACAGATAGCGCAAGAAACATTTTTTGCAAAATGTTTGCCTTTTTAGTCCACGGGATTGAAATTTTTTGTTTAGCCATCATATGGATCGGATAGCCCGTTTATTCAGCTTCAATATTATGTTTTCAAAATCTCGATGCGATCACTTGGCGCCGTGATATCTGACTTTGCATGAAAAATATCTTTTTGACAACGACCACTGATATATCGGTACCCAGTGATCGCACAGGAATGTAAGGAACTGGAATAAATCTTAAAATATTCGCAATTGCTTTTTTAAAATGGAAGCCGTTGCATATATCCAGTGACAACAAAAGAATGAAAATATTTTTTCCATTTTCAACCAGGTTACATGATGATTTGACACAAAATTTTTGCTCCGTTTCATTCAAATTTTGACCAATCGGTCTGGAGATACCACATAATGGATCGATCTGCCCTCCTAGGAGTTATTAGAGGTACATTGAGGTAAAAAAAAAACCTAAAAAAAAAAAAACAAGGCAAAAAGTATCTTATTTTGACCTTTTTAAAATCAGTACTAGGTAAACAAAAAAAAACCTCAAAGATTGCAATCAAATTTTATTGGAGATTTCTTCCAGTTTTCGTAAATATCCATACATTCTCTGTGCCATCACTAGTTACCGAGATATCAGTGCTCATGACAAAGGGATCCTTTTTCAATCAAAATCGGATATCTCTGAGCTAAATTATCGTATCGAGATTTTAAAAACAGTTTATTGAAGCTAAAAAAAACGGGTTATCCGATCCATATAATGAAATAACAAAAAAAATTTCAAGCCCATGGGCTAAAAAGAAGTCAAAAATCTTGTAAAACATTTTTCTTGTGTAATCTGTTAGAACTGCTGACCTTAAAATTTTTCAGCTAAAAAACCTGAAAACTAGAATCTTACGAGCTTCAAAATACTTTTTTAAAGATTCAATTTGACCACTTTTCACCGGAATAGAGCCTGCCAAAGATCACCGAAAAATTTGGATTTTTTTCTTGCTCGCTTAATTTTTTGAGTAGTGTATAAGGGCACACGTAACCTTACCCAACTAGCAAAGTAGTGGTATAAGCTTTTGGTAATAGAACCGTTCAGCCATAAAAGCTCTCTATGGTTGTTGCCTGAAAACCAAAATGCTGGCTTAATGTTGTGTGGAATGTAAATTTGCTTTCTGCAACATATTTGCCCTAAAATGAGGTGTTTAAAATATTCTTATAGCATAGTTATACAACACCTTATAGGGCAAATTTAGAACTGTTGCATAAACGTTTATACAACTATTTTATACGGCATATTTGCAAGTTAGTCAAAAAGGTTGTGTTGTGGCATCCATGGTAACGTTTATAAAACAAACCCGAGCCTTATTGTTTTGCTGTGCACTTTACTACCTTAGCCAACAAATTGCTCCCAACGGAAGCACTTATACAACTGTTGTTTAGTAACTGTTAAAGGCTGCACATCTGCTAAATATGTTGGTAAACAACTTCACCATAACCTAACTTTCTGCTGTCATATTTTTGTTAAAATGCCATAAGCAATGTTTTAAGACAAACAACGCATGCATATTGGTTCAAAAGGTTTTATCAACTGTTCAAACAGACGATATAGATATGGTGCAAATTCTGGGTAAATCATTCGACTCTGTCGGTATTTCATTTCAGACATTTGTCAAATTGTTGTATAACACCTGCAGGCAACACCAAAATATTCTAATAACCTAAAGACAACATGGACGATGCCATGATTGTACACAACCACCCTCCATATTGGGCGAACATTTATTCCTCTATTTAATATTAAATAATTATGTTTCAGTTCGAAATTACAGATATAAAGTGACAAACATTAGTGTAATTGTGTCTAAATATAGGATTTGTGGAAGATTTAACGCAGATAAGTCCAGTTTTCCATCTTAAACATCTAGACATACTTTTGATCATTGTCAAAATATGAATCAAATATGAAGCCCGTAGAAACTGGATAACTAATTTGCACGATAATCACAATAAAATTTGCTGCGCAAGTAATTCAATAGCTCTATATCAAAGTGTAGAAGTTTATCATATACCTGTGTATGAAATTCACAATGGCCGATATGTAAGTAGACAAGATGACTAGTAATGTGTTAGTTATATATTCTTCACTTCGTATATACAATACATAAGAAATAGTTTTCCATAAAGTAGAATCACGTAACAGAATAGTTGTATAGTTGACAAAAACTGAATCTTGCACTGACGCAAATGTCCTATAGCGGCTGCAAGAGGCTTACACTTTTGTTTTATAACTGTTACCTGCAGCCCTTATACAACCTCTTAAATGACTGAAGTGTCCTATTAGGTGTGCCCATTCCGCTTGTATAGCTGTTCTAAGAGGGTTTTGCCAATGTTCTTACCGTATACAATGCTGTTTAAGGAGTACTGTATAATTATTCTTGCAACTCTAATAGGAGTGATAATTGTTAGTTGGGTATTGTGTCTTAAGTTTTTCTGGCATCTTCACAACCATATTTAAGCACTTCCTCTGCAGATGCCGAGCCATCTATGAGCAAACTGCCAAACCAAGTGCATTTCGTTCATAGATTGCTGTGTTTTTGATGTATAATGTGGTAAATGATGCAACTTCGTAATACAGGCCTAACCAATTTTAAAAAACAAGAAGGTAGCTGGCAACAAACTCATTCTGTGAATGCTGCTTTCCTTATCTGTGGTTAAATGATTAAATATTTATGCCCATACTACTTTAGATACAACTATTTTGTCTTTGGGATATTCAACAAAAGAATAATCGTTCTATTCACGTGGTGTGGAGTGTATGATATCAACTCACCGTCAAGGCACTCTCCTCCCCGTCCATCTGGGAGAAGATAATATCGCTCTCGGCCATCTCGAGCTTCTTTAGCTTCTCGCCCCTCAACCGTCCAATGGCCACCAGGTTTTCCTCCTTGTACTTATACCCGTACATGACGAACTCCTCCAATCGCTTGCACAACCAGGCCGCCAACACAAAAGGATCGGGGCTCTGGTCGAAAATGGGCTTGGTGAACGACCAACTGTTCCCGTCTTCACTTTGTGAGTCGATCAGAGTGATGCTGCGCAACGTCTCTGAATAGTTGGTCAGGTTTTGGATCAGTTCCAGATTCACCTGAAAATAAAAAAAAATGGTTATAAGATAAAAATTGTCTGATAGACACATAGTTAGAAAGTAATAGACGCTGACACGGGAATATGCCGCGTTGCCAATATGTTATACCAATTCCTTGAATTAAGATGCATGTTGCAAATATGCGTTAGTTTATTCTCTACGCTCAAATAATGATTTTATTTTAAGCGTACACATTTTTGAATTGTAAATTGTGTGGAATCTGTGTATGATCGATGCCGGAACGGTCCTAACAGTCCTGCAACAGTGCATCATTGGTTCGCTTGACAACACCGCATCTCATAAATTCCAAGGCAAGGTTTCCTGAGCGATTTTGGTCAGTACCCATCTAGCGCTCATGGGCGTCCTGCTTGGAAATGGTTTTCACCTGCTTACACGCAGGCAGTGATAATTTGAATAATGATATTTATTACATTTTCAAAACATGTACTTCTTAGGAAAGGGGTGAAATACGAGGAGGATGGGAAACAGAATAAAACCTTATAGTATATATAACGCATTTACGTGTTCGACAATATTTAGATCAGACGTTTCCAGATCGATGGATTGGTAAAAGAGGTGTCATTGAATGGCCCCCAAGATCGCCAGATTTATCACCTTTGGATTTCTTTATGTGGGGTCATTTAAAAATCAAAATCTATGCTACTCAGCCAACATCATTAGAAGACCTGCGACAAAGAATTGTGAATGAGTGCCTTCAAATTACTCCTCAATTATTGCAAAATGTGCGGCACGTTTTGAGCAAAATCTTTATTATTGCATGGGGAGTCATGGTGGCCATTTTCAACATTTACTTGCCTAACGGGTCAGTTCATTCTTCAAAAACTACTGAACTGAAGTACATTAATTTTATATCATTATAAAGGGAATTGAAAGACCCTTAAAATAAAGTATCACTCGACCCACCTTTCCATTTAAGATTTTGGGGGTGGTGTCACCCCCGCTTAGGGGGCTGCACGTGCTAACGTGATTTTTTGCCAAACTTGTGCCCCCCTCGAAAACAAAATCGACGGGTCTGAGCGTTTTTCCAAAAAAAAACTGAGCTGCCAGTAAATGCGTCTGTTTCGTTTTCGATGCGCCACCCTGTAGAATATATATATATATATATATATATATATATATATATATATATATATATATATATATATATATATATATATATATAATATATATATATATATATATAGGTGAAAAATTAAAGCTTCCGCCTTTTGTTGGGTACTTCGACAAAATTTAAGCAAAGAGGACTCTTTATACTTTTTTAATTCTCTCTAGCTTTCAATGGACTTTGCCATCATCATCAGGAGAGTAGTATGTGAGGATGTTGCTAATTGTTGTTTTCGTATAGGATGAGGGAAACGTCCAGTAACATGGTGAGAGCTGGATACATGGTACAATGGTTAAAATTATATAAAATATGACAAGACAAGTTAAAGACAGATTAAAAATTATTTAGAAAACATTATATATATATATATATATATATATATATATATATATATATATATATATATGTATATGTGTGTGTGTGTGTGTGTGTCGGATCTACATGTCGTTGTTAAACACTGCAGTGTTCAAATTTTCGCCAATGATTCACAAACTTATAATCACTTCCGATGTGCTAATATTCAAACTGCTGTATTTGAAGTCAATGATGATCTAAAATCTATGAGTACATATGCAAAAAATCGTAATCTTCACTTGAGCACTTCAAAAGCAAAAGTCATTATTTTTTCACCAAATCCATTTAAGAAAAATGCGAAAGAAACTAACATAAATTTAAAACTTTCACATCACAAAACTTTTCAATGTATTATTTAATTCTTTAAACTGTTAACTGTCATAATTTTTATTTTATACACAAATTATTTACACAACAATTATTATTTTTGTTAACACTGTAATATTGTTTTTTGCACTGCTGTACTTTTTTGGGGTTAAGTGGCAGAATAGCTAAACTTCGCCCCTAATAAAGACGATTATAATTGTTATTATTGATATTAAGTTCACGGAAAATCTTTGAATTGCAGAATTTTTCTATAGTATCAGGCAGATCAATGTGAATTTTCAAACCATTATAATCAAATCTCTCATTCTTGTTGATTTTGGTACTATTAATTCAAAACCTTGGTTTGTGTAATTTTGCAGTTCATAGTGCTTCAAAAATGGATTTACTGTTAAGGATAATAGATGCAGTTTTTAAAATGAAAAATGATGATATTGTCACAATTTTGAGATTTTAGAATATATAGATTTGCAGGGAAGTAACTTTAGGACTGCTTTTGGATACATATGTAATAGTTAGTTTCTAAAGTACTTAACAGTAATTTTTTTGAGAAATTTTGGGAATACAGACCTAAAGATAAGGGTGTAGAATAGTCAGTGAAAGTTTCTGACAATTTTTGACGTATGTTTGACGTTTATCAATGACTGCATGCATGGAATTTGGTGAAATAATATGGTTCATCAAAACACAAGAGTCAAATGTGCGAAGTCGTAGCGTGGTGGTGTTTTGTTTTTTCTGCATTCATGATCGGAAAAAAAAGAAAGGAAATGACAAGGAGGAGAAAGGATCACGTGTGGAAATATTTTAAGGAGACTGATGTCAAAGCTGGCTCGAAAATAAATAAAAGAGCATAATGTTTAACCTGCAATATGGATACAGTATCCCTGGTGGCTAGAATGCGCAAGCATATTAAAAATTGTAAACCAACTTAAACAAGGAAGTTTGTTAGAAAAACAAAATATTCTTATATCAGATCAGGGGCGGCTGGTCCTTTAATTCTGCAGAGCTGCAGAACTGCCAAAACTTTTGTCTTAACAGAAAAAAGCAGTAGTAATTTGATCATTATTCATTTTCCATATTATCACACAAATAAAAACAATACCGGCCTGCCCCCGCAAGACACGGCGTCGAGTCTGTTTTGTAATGAGAAAGCATTATAATCGACCAATTGTGTACTTGTCATTTTCGTCGCGACCGCAGCGTAACATTATTCATGGGTCACTTGAAAAGGGTCTGTGCACTACTTCGACACAAGCCGCACGCGCTTGCTTTTGTCTCTCTCTACAAAATCAAATGCGCGATTTAAGCATAAGCATGTGCTGCAATTTATACAGATCCGTACAGATCTAATGCGAAGTACGATATCTGAATGCGAAAAATTTTTTATTTAGGTATTTTGGGTCTTACGTTGAGTTACTAGTGACTCACTGACTGACTGTGGCTGTGTAGAAGGGTAGTGCAAGACAATGGATGTGGTTTACAGACTTATCCGCGTGAAACGATTCTGGAAATACACATTTGAAGAAAAAATTGAGCTGGAGGTGTCAGGTCGACCGCTGCCGGACATATTTATAGAAACACATGGCGTTAGTCAGGGCAAGGGCTATACGCGGCATTTCAGCAGGGAGATTTATACCAGAAATGACTGGATTTGTGGGTGCAACAGGAAGAATGCCATTTTCTGCTTTCCTTGCATACTTTACGGCGGTGACAAAGCTTGGACGGAGGTATATGTTACAGATTTAGTGCACCTGAGTGAAAACATTAAGAAGCATGAAAACTCTAAAACACATCTTCATAATTCGATGGAATTGTCTTTATTGGGGACTGCTAACATCAGAGCTCAGTTAGGTTCAGCCTATTGGAGAAATATACAACAGCATAATGATACCGTTACAAAAAACAGGTACGTTCTATCAAAAGTAATCGATTGTATAAAATTTTGCGGAGCTTTTAATTTATCGCTACGGGGCCACGACGAAACCGAGAGCTCCCAAAACCCGGGAATATTTCGTGGACTGATTAATTTTTCTGCTGAGCTTGATACAACCTTAAGCGAACACATGAAAAATGCTTCAATATTTAAAGGAACTTCGAAAGAAATACAAAACGATCGAAATAATAAAACAGATTAACAGAGCCTCGTATTTGGGGATAATAGCAGATGAAACAACGGACATTTCGGGGAAAACTCAACTGGTAACAATTTTCAGATACGTATTTAACGGCGAACCAGTAGAACGTTTTTGGAATTCTATGAATCCCAAAAAATGTGACGCTGGTACTCTCACAAGACATATTTTGAGCGTCGTAGATCCATTAATAGGAAATTTCGCTAACAAACTGATTTCACAAAGCTATGATGGAGCCGCGGTAATGAACGGACATAATGCTGGAGTACAGGCAAACATTAAACAAAGATATTCATTTGCTCACTATGTGCATTGCTATGCGCATCAGTTAAACCTGGTTATGTCCCAAGCTGCTTCCCCAAGTTCGGGTGTTCTTTGGGGATTTGAAAGATATTGCGGGATTTTTTAATAATTCTCCTCAACGCGTAGAGGTACTGAATAGAATTGTGGGGAAAAAATTCCCCAAGGAGCAACAACTCGTTGGAATTTTAATATTCGAACAATAAATGTTGTGTTTGAGAACAAAGAATCACTCACTGAATGCACAGCTTGCGGTATTCGCCGTATGTTAAACAATTCTGTTTTCGTGTTTTGGCTGACATTTCTTCATCATGTCATGCCTCACGTCGACATCTTGCTCAACCGGTTGCAGAAGAGAAAAACCGAGCCAGCGCAAGTTAAAACGGCTATCGATAATTTTGAAAAATGTATTGTCGATGTGAGAAATAAAATTGATGACATAATAAATGAAGCCAAAAGTATTTGCACTGAACCCCAAGGCAACAAAAGGAGACGACGTAATAATAGCAGTCACGATCACCGAGTTGCCGCATTAGAAGTATGCGACAATATAGTGAATTCTGCAAATGGCAGATTTCAATTCAAAGATCATTTGGTAGCCGCATCCCTTTTTTCCCCGAACACTTTGGAGCATACTGTGGTAAGTTTCCTGATGTCAAGTTGGAAACTACCTGCTTGGCTTATCCCGAATTAGAAAAAAGTCGTTTAAAGACAGAGTTGTCTGTTATTTATGCACGAAATGATTGCCGAGATTTACATGGAACTCTAACTCTTTTGAAATTTTTGATACAAAACAGTTTGGAGGAAACACTAAACGAAACAAAAAAGCTATTAGAAATTATTGTTACAACTCCTATGTCAACATCAGAGGCTGAGCGAAATTTCTCAACATTGAAAAGAATCAAGACCTTTCTTCGAAATACTATGACTCAGGATCGCCTTACAGCGTTGAAAAGGAATTTATTTCGACCATGGAAAATTTCAACGGGAAGGTGATCGACCAATTTGCTGCCAAGAAGGAGCGCAGGATCGAACTGACATAAAAAATAGGTAAGTTCGGATTTGCAGAACACCTGTTTTATTTTGCCACGAGCCGCCACTGTATCAGATAGTTCTAATACTGACAATGATGATATTTCTACCGAACCTATTTCCTCAAAGTTAAGTAGGTTGGAGAATTGTGGAAAAGGTACATTTTTTTACTTGGAGTGCCGTAAAAAGTAGTGAAAACTAAACATTTATTCTATGTACATTTTCCATGATTTTATATTTTAAAAATATGGATTTGATTTTTTTTTAAATAACATGTGTTGTATACTTATATAGAAATGTGTTAATCAACTTATTTAATATTATTGTACAATTAAATACATAGTCATAGTATATGATTATTCTGCTGCTTGTAGTGTACTAGTATTAGATTTCAATGCAGTTTATTAAGTTCACTCGTTCATTAAGAAACAGAGATCTCTTCCACTAGTATTACTTCCCTAGTTTCATGTTTGATTAAATAATAAAAAATAAAGTATATTTTTTAGTACCTATGTGTTTTTTAGTTTCGTTTTGCAAAATAAAATCAATTTCGTTTCATACTTAAACAAATATAAAAAAAACTTGAATAAGTCACTAACGACAAAAAAACAGTGTTTAAAACATGTTTTAAACAGTTTACAACAAATTGGTTTAAAACTCCTTCATTGTTTTGAACATTTTGATTAAAACATAACAACCCTGCGCATCTTTGTCAGTGAAGTCCTTCATCCTTCTGAAGAAATGACCTCCAACAGAGATGAGGGGTACGAATTCTCAAGCAACATCTTAAAGCAAGATACATAATTCACCTACCTTTTCACAGAAGAACAGCTTGATGTGAGACAATGGCATCTGCTCCCTGAGCACCGTTTCATGGAGGTTATCTATATCTTTGAAAGTATGGATTGCAGTGAGACGCAATTCACAGTTTGGATGCATGTGCCGGAATGTAAGCCAACTCTGATTTGTGGGAGGCACCATACCTTGAGGAACTGCATGCAGATGCACCACTAGTCGCTGGAGCTGCTTGGCAGAATCCAGGCTTCTCAACAGGTGGTCAGATAGCACGTCATAATCTATACTCAGCACCTGAACAATAAAAATCAATTTTTATTTTGAAATTCATAGGATGATTCTTTGGAATATTCCGAAATAAATTTGTGCACGGATGATTTGTCGAAAAAACTGTGCTCAAATACATGGGACGACCAAGATAAATTTCAGTATTATACCACATGGGAAGCTGTTTGCAAAAACTGCTCAAAAAACAATTATTAAGTACAGTGCGCCACTAAAATTGTGAAATTATATCAAGATATAGATTAAACACATTTTATTAGCTGGCTCAGAAAGAGGTCCTTATTTGTTGCGATTTATCTCTTACAATTTTTTTCGTTTGAAATTGAATACAAATGTCTAATTTAAGACAAGTGGACCAGATCCAACTGCCATTTATGCTTTTAAAGTACAATAACTTATTTTATCGCCAATATAGTTTTATTTACAGGGTGTCGGTACCTACATGGACATGGACATGTCAGGTATCGGTTTTTGCGGATATAAGGGTGATTTATTATATATGTAATATATATATTATTTATTCAACACGACAAATCTTCAATATCCCATATCTCATGTACCATTCATCCGATTGCCATAAAATCCAGAGCTGAACTCGATTGTTCCTCTTTTTTGTTTTTTATCAAAATCAACAACTTTTAAGCTGAATATTGAGATGTTTGGCTATGTACAAAAAAAAGCTGATGAGTGGTACTAATAAATTAGCAAAATAGATTTCTTTTAAGTGTTGGTTTCATAAAAATTTTGCAAAATAATGCTTGAGATATTGAACTAAGAATGTTTTATTATTCTGTAATATTTATTTGTTTACATTTAGTTGAGTGCAATGATATAAGTAAAAGGGAAAATTTATGTTATTCACCCTATTTACGTTTCAGTAATTTTTTTAATAATTTAGTTCTAAAAATTGATACTGCATAATGTGAGTTCTCGAAAGAGAAAACAGCATTCAAGATGCAATTCCACTAAATCTTCCAGACCAGTTTCAATTCAAGTTAAACACCCACAAAAACATAGTATGCAGATCTAGACTGACATTTAATTGTTTGATGTACCATACATGTAACACATGTATTATGCAACTGAAGCTAACATAGGGTTGTGGTGAGATAATGTAAATTCAACTATGCTGAAAATGTTGAGTCTGAACCTGTATATAAGATGTTTCTACATTTTCATATTAATCTGGATTTTTTCTTGAGAGACAAATTTAGTGCATTTGAATACTAAATGCCATCCATTCAAAGTCAGACTCATATTGTACAGCATCAGTTGGTAGAATAAGATCATTAAAAAATAATGAAAAAACCAATAGGGTGCATAACATTATTTTTCCCTTTTCTTTATCTCGTGTTCTGCTCATTTTTACGAAATAACGAATTCAGAGTAAAATTACACGAAAAATACAAGGAAATAAAAAAAACTGAATTTGTCCCTGGAATTTTGAGTTTTGTGTCACATAATCTTCTAAAAATGAGATGTTTAAATAAGTAAAAATTAACCAAAAAACCAAGACGCGGAATCAATCTATTTTGCTAATTAATGAGAACCATCCATTGGCTTTTTTTGTACCTGATCAAACATTGCAATATTCAGCGTAAAATAGATAGATAAGAGGTGTCGATTTAGACAAAAAACAGAAAAAAGTTAAAATCTTGAGTTTGGCCCTGGGTTTTTCAACCATCTTATATAGTTTTATGTTACTCCTAGGTAACTGTTATTGTAAAAAATTTCAACAAAATTGGTTCAATGGTACCTGAGATACGAGATATTAAAGATTTAGCATATTTAGATAAATCACCCTGTATAACTTAAAAACTGAATTTAGAACTTTTTTACTCTCAGATATGAAAAGAACTAGGTCCATACTATACTAAATGACATACAAAAAGCAACGCAGACTATGAGTGCTGTAATTTTGAGCATATTTTTACAAGTTTTCTGATAAATAGAAAGTGATTGAACTTTCAACTCGAAATTTCGCAAAAGGGCTCAGATATCCTACTTTAATGTTAATAATGTGTTCGCTACACATTCGTTAAGTCGCGGTATTGACTGGATTAGGTGATTGTGTCTTCTTGGTGTATTGTATCCCAGGCAATCTGAATTTGGTGTCATAGAGCCTCCAATATTTGTAGAGGGTGCAGTGAATTTTGCAACCTTCTTCCCATCATGTCCCATATATGTTCTATGGGGGAAAGGTCTAGAGATCGAGGAGGACGCTGAAGCAGATTTATTCCGGACGCTTCTGTGTAAACTAATACGTGCGACATGAGGTCGTGCATTGTCCTGCTGAAAAAGTGGATCTTGCAATGTTTCCAAAAATGGAAGTAGATGTGCTTGTAAAACTTGATGAATATATCGCTGGGCAGTCATGCTACCTCGAACGAATACTAATTGCGACCTGTTGCCATAAGCAATGGCACCCCATACCATGTGCGATGAATATGCCGTTCGGTAGAATACTGAACGTTCCGTCTTTCACTACATCTCGTCTTTACTCTTGCACGGCCTACATGTGTGCCTAAACAAAATCTGGACTCATTACCGAATACGAATGAGTACCATTCCCTACTCCATTCAAATCCCTCCCTACTCCATACCAATCGTTGCCGCCGATGCTGAGGGGTCAGAGGTAGTACAAGATGGGGACGGTATGAAAACAGTCCAAAAGACCTTATTTGGCGATAAACTGTCCTCATTATTATTGCCCTTCCGACATCATCAAACCACTGGTTGACCACTGCCCTTGTTCTGGAAAATCGATCTCTAAGTGCTACTTGCCTCAAATAACGATCCTGTCGCTCTGTAGTCTGTCTTTGACGTCCAGTACCTCTAACTCGTCGTTTTTGGCCTTCTTGGAACCACGATCGACAACATCTCATTACAGTAGCTTCGTTTTAATACACCCGATTAGCAATTTCTCTAAAAGAAAATCCGTCTTCACGTAACCCGATAATTCGACCCCTCTCAAACTCGAAAAGTTGAGTGAAATTAGCGCCTTCAACATTTTATCAGAAGATACTTCGATGACAGCAAATATGTTTACAAATTTTTATCAAAATTCAATAAATAATTCTGGGTGTTGCATTTTATATGTCACTTAGTACTACCATTGTCCTTTTGAATATGGAACACCTTTTATAATGAAATAAAAAATTACAACTTTTCTATACAACAAAATGAGATTCATATAAATTCATTATATTTTGTAGTACAGAAATGTTATGACTAAAAATTAACATTGCATGAAACTTGTTTAGATGGCATATTAGCAAATATAGTCAAAATCATGAAAGATGTCGATTACCTCATCATTTTAGTCTGTAGTAAAGACTAACGGCAGCGATTTGTGAATATTTTTAATGAAGTTTCAAATATGTTAGACAGAGACAAACAGAATTTTATTGTCTAAACAAACTGTATTGCTAATTTGCACGTATCAGACAAAGATAGACGATGTTTTCATGTTGCATGATCAATCATTTGAAAGATGAATGGTTAGGTTATGTCAAAGCAGGTTAGGTTAATTTCGAATAATACTTTAGTCTTTGGTGTTAATGTCTTGAGGTGTATTCTACTCATGACTGTTTTTTTTTCAAAATAAAAATTCCCACTAAAATGATTTTTAAGATATGACTTAAAACCATGAAATAAAATGAAAATAAAAATAATCAGTGAAATAACCTAACTTCGCAAAATCATAACATAAATTCATGACATCATAATTTTATCATCGACGTACGTCCATTGATTACTTATAATATAATATCTTCTGAACCTAGCTCTCAAAATTTAACTTAATAGTACTATCTACCATTATGAACCATTGCAAGTAAAATATAATGAGATGGTGATTAGATGATCACCTCAAGTTTGTTGAATGGTGCCAGCAATTCTGGGTCAAAGCAACAATACTGGTAATTTACAGGATCATCCTTGACAGATGCTAGTCCTAGATGGGTCACTTTGTTGGGGTCAAGGTGCTTCAGGATATCTTCGATGAAATAGGATAAGTCTTCTATACACCCAATACTAAACTTAACAAGATTTGGCAGACAGGGTAACAGGAGGGACATTATGCCCCATGGATCATCTTCATTACTACAAGAAAACATTTTAATAACATACTATCTGCTAATGATAAAAAATAATGCATTATTTACCTATTAATGCATTTGTAGGGAACATCAAACCGACAATGAGTTGGTTCCAGGTAAAGACTTCTCAAGTTATTATTATCACTCAATAATCTTAACAAATGAATGAATTCTTCCATGCACTCAAGTGATAAGGAATTGATCACAATTCTAGCATCAGCCACAATCTTTCCAAATGTATAATTCATAAACCTTGCTTTTTCCAAATTGTTCTCTTCAATTTTGAATGTTATTTTGGTCCACCATCTGCAAAAAAAATTGGTTGTGCTTTTAACAACCTGAAAATATGAATTGCGTGGTCTGTACTTTTACAGACCATTAAATTTATAAAAATGGTTTAGTGTGAAACGAACCAAAATGTTGAAGAATATTCATTCATAACCTATTTTCCAAAATACCATAAAAACAAAGAAATCTGCAAGGGAATGATGGTGATCAATCTCATATTCCTCCATTAGTCTTTGTAGGGTACTGCTCTTTATGACTTTCTATTCTCTTTTCATTTTGTACCCTTAATTTTTTGCAACTACCATTTTTTAAACAATGACTGTTTGCAGTATTTTTTCCTCAGAGATGAACTAAATTTAAAAGTTTCTCTATAGTTACTTAATCAAGAAAGTTAAGAGATGATACATAAAAAATCAGGTCAGCCATTTGAAGAGGGTTTGAGCATATTATATCTAATAACAAACCAATAAATATATGTGGGATTCTGCTTTCCCAAAGTATTTTTACTTACTTTGGATGAAAGCTATTCTGTCTCCAATGCTTACAAACTAAGGATGCATTGCATCTATCTTCATTACTCAACAAATCAAACACATTGTGTAACAGCAGTGATGGCAATTGTGCCCAGAATGAGGAATACGTAATATCTTGTGAAGTCTTGGATTTTTTTGGTTTCGGGTAATCTCCATATGTTGAAAAATTGTCTTGTGCCATAACTGAAAGAAAATGTTAATTCAAGCTGTACATCCATGTCATTAAGATGAACAATAGTAAATAGTAAATATATGTCACAAGTTCACCATTTATCAATGTGAAATTATTATTTCCCATAAATAAACAAACAATTCTTTCATGATGAAATTGCTATACTTACAAAAATATCCACGTTTCATCTTGTTTTTTTTGTGATACCTCGGACGTGAATTTATTTGGTATCCAGAAAAAATCTGTTTTGCGAAAGAAATGTTCAGAATGAAAGGCAAAAGTCTTTTTTGAGGCATTAACAGATGATTTATTTTTGAAGGACACCTACTTATACAATAAAATTGCGCACAAAAACATTCCAGCTGGTAGTTTTAGATTACTCACCTGATTCACATTCGTCGTTCGCTAAAATAATAGGTGTGCTGGGAAAAAATAATTTTTTTAAATGAGTTCTGGGTTTTGCACTTATACTTGCTGATTTTATATATTTCACTTTCACAAAACCCCTTTTTGCGCACTTGTCAGCATCCCCCACCACAAAAGATACGCGGATCCCCCACTACCTGACCAACACAATCCCCCACCGACCTAACCGATTTTAATAAGGATGGGAGATCTTAAACAGTTTTCGATTCAGAATCAGGCATCAGTATTCGTTGAATACAAAATATCCAAATAATACACCACCACCAAAGTGGCGCTGACTCTAGTACTCTAAACACCGGTTTATTCATTTCAAACATTTCTAACGATTTATCTAGGAGTTAACAATACGCCATTATTACGTATATATAGGATTATTCATTCCGGTAAGACTATACTTTAGCGCTTATCGCAAATACTTCATTTCTTACTTTAAAATGAAAGATTAGAATGTAACCTGCACGAAAATATCATGTTTTCTTTAAGGAACCCTCTGCTTGCTATTTTATAGAACTTCGAAGTTGCATATTTGGTGGTAATACTCTAGAATAGAATACTGTTTTATATACTGTCTTTTTTTGATTTTTGTACATGAGGATGCTCTAAGCCTAAGCCTAAATTGTAAGAATATAACATACACTGTATACTACTAAGGAAAATAGATGTGAAACTGTAAAAAATCGTATGGTATTTACTTGTAAACTGTGTAGAGATGTAGTTTTGTAATTTTTCAATGTCTTTTTGAACCCCCTTAATAATTTTTTGCGCGTATTTTCAATGACATCAAAGTTTTTGCGTTTATAAGAAATATTTGAAAGTACAAACAATTCGGAATGGCCACTTTATAACGCTCATTTCTTGACAGATAAAATAAATGATGTCTATTGTTGCCAAGTTGTATCTTTTTGGGAGAAATGCGTAATTAGAAAAGACATTTGCAAAATAAATGTCATAATTTATTGTAAATGGCTTGTTTTATGAAAAGTTGTCCCAATATTTACCGAAAAATAGATGAAATTTTGAACAGTACGTATCTAAATAGTGGAAAATGCACCAGCGGCTCGCGTGACATAAAAAATACAAAAGGCACCAGTGGTCATTGCATATAAAAATACCCAACGTCGAATCGTCGATTTGGACCACCTCGCCAGGTCCACCCAACATATCATCGTCCAACATTATAGTTAAATACAGATCAACGATAATTTCATCAAATCATCAAAAAACTTGGAATGTTCTTTATGTTTCCATTATTTAGTGATTTGCAACTGCTTTTTCAGTTATTTCTCATATATGTATATCACATTTAATTAGGTATATTTTGTAACATCAGCTTCACTTTAAATAATTCTTCAAGTACATACATACAAAAAGTAAATAGATTATAACTATAATATAGGAAAAACAATAACCGAAGTACTTTCGTGAAGGGCATAAGGCATAAGGCATTCTCAAAAAAGTCTCATTAGCTAACGCTCTCGTAGGGCATAAGGTGGATTTAGTACAGTAAAACCTGCCGGCCACACCTCCAAATCGCATTTTCATGACAATCCTGTGCCGATTGCACATTTTTGCGCTTGTATGTAAGTAAGATTTGACTTGACAAACCAAATTAAGGTATATTACTAACCATGATTTGGCAACATCGCAACTTGATGGAGAGAATATGACAGTGACGGTGGTGTAGTGATGGGAATAATTATCTGAAATAAAAGAAATGAATACTTAACAATGAACTATTTTCATCATTAAAATATTGTAAAATTGCATTATTGCGTTGAACAGTGTCACAGTAACTTACAGTGTATGTTATATTCATATAATTTTGAACAATCTTTTGTATAAACAAGCAGAAAACAGCTTATAAAGCAGTATTCTATACCATAATATTACTACACAAAATGCAACTTTAAAGATTCATAAAATAGCAAGCAGAGGGTTCCTTAAATAAAAAACGATATTTTCGTGCAAGTGACATCCTAATCTTTCATTTTAAAATAAGAAATGAAATATTTGCGATATGCGCTAAAGTATAGTTCAGCCTTCATTCCTTTCATATTTCTTATTTTGTCGGCAATTCATTCTTTGGTCAAATCAAATCGGACAACTCATCATTTTTCAAACTTGTCAAGCATCTGTCAAAAGTCAATCTAACCTCAAAGCATCATAGGAAACGAAAAACTTGTTTGGTCATTCTCAAATATCTGAAATCATTGAATTTTGAAAATGGAGTGCTTGTTAGGAATCAAATTCAAAGACTTTGTCCTTATAGCAGCCGATATGACGGCCACTCAGAGCATTATAGTGATGAAGACAGGTAAGAGATAGGGAAGAAAAAGTTTGAAGTTCAAGCACTGAAGCTGTTTTGTTTCTAGATGAAAATAAGCTGTTCAAACTATCTGATAAACTGGTAATGGCAGTGTCTGGAGAATCAGGAGACACCACTCAGTTTGCCGAATACATAGCTAAAAATATACAACTTTACAAAATGAGAAATACCTATGAATTGAGCCCTAAAGAAGCTGCAAGTTTCACACGAAGGAATTTAGCAGATACCTTGAGGACTTCGGTGAGTTTTCAACATTGCTGCTCGGGAATACTGCGTAAAATATTGATGTTTCTCCTTTGTTTAATAAGTAGATATGGTATCCACAAATGTCTCTCTCATCAAAAATGGTCAATACAATATATGAATCCGACAGTGCAAAAACCAGCGCATTTTTTTTAACCACGATCATTTTTTCAGTAAAAATGCTTCATTAAACATGGATGGATATTCTGTTTACATTGTTTTTACTGACACTCCTCTATACTTGACTGGATCATTTCAAAAGTAGTAGCAATCTTGCAATGTCAACTTTTTTGTTGAAAAAGACATTTTGAAGCCTGGTAGTTACAAAGTCACATAAGCACATGGATTCTTCTACAACCAATTGGCAATTATTGAAAGTTGAACAATTGGCGTATGTTTTTTCATGGCAGTTGATTCTTGGTTTGATTGTAAAATGGGAAATTAAACTTATCCAGGTTTACCCTGTGTACCTTAGTACATTAGTGAAAATATTAAAACATACAAAATTAAAATATGTGGCATGTTAGTAAGTCAATATTTAAGTGTAATTTTCAATCATTAGCAATGAAAAATATATGATACCTACATATAAATCTTTTGCTCAAGTTATATACTACTTAGGTTTCTGCTAAAACAACATAACAGGCTTTTGGGATTTTACTATTATTAATAAACTGTGAAGGATATTCAAAATTTCAATCTTGTACTCAAATACTTACTTCATTAAGCCCAAAAACTACTCCAATGTAGATAGCTGCAATGCCAAGTCAATAGTGTATGTTATGAATAATAGGAGCCCTACATTTGATCCTCGAGGCAACCCTGAAGTAGGAGTATGTGACTGCCATAGTCAACGATTTGTGTTTGTTCTATGAGACTGCATCAGGGATACTGAATCTTCAGGTAGGATCATCAATTTCTTTCTGACCTCTCTAATGGCTATTTTAATTGGGTACCCTCTGGTGGAATATGTTCGTCTATAACTAATTAAAATAGGAATCAGAGAGGCAGAAGTTATTGACGATCCTAACCCCATTTATGAGACAGTAGCAGAACCAATCACTCTTGCAAATCATGCTTCTTGAAAATAAAAGGTTTGGTGTTACTTAATGTTATTTTTTACAGTCTCCTTATCATGTAAATCTGCTTCTTGCTGGCTATGATGAAAAAGAGGGTCCTCATCTTTACTACATGGATTATTTAGCATCAGCTGTGAGTGTAGACTATGCAGCCCATGGTTATGGTGGTTACTTCTCCTTATCAATTATGGACAGAAATTATTTGAAGAATTTGAACAGAGAGCAAGCATATGATCTTCTGAAGAAGTGTGTCAAAGAGATCCAGTTGAGACTGGCAATCAATTTACCAAATTTCAAGGTACAAGCTATAGATAAGGATGGTATACATGATATGCCCAACATTACTCATGCTGACTTGAAATAAGTTTTTTTGGTGTAATTTTTTATATTAATAAATGTTGAATAAGGAAATGTTTTTGTCATTTTTTTAGCCATTACATATTTTTAAATTCTAGCAACTAATTTTATCTGTGTATCATACCCACTGGCAGAGCCAAAGAAAATGGAGGGGAAGAATAACCAATACATACTTAAAAAAAATTTGGTGTTGTCACTATTTCATTGAACCAAAAATGTTCTGTATTTAAAAAAATGCCATTACAAAATTAATTTGCTGAGAAGAAATGAAATATTTTGTATACGACCAAGTACCTTGTATAAAAAAAAGTCTGAATAACAGCTTTCAACTGCATTCTTTATTTTTGTAATATAATACATCATATTTTTACAATGACTTTAATGTATTCAGGAAAACGTTCACAGAACACGCATAAATGAAAACTAAATATACATTCTTAAAAAAACATTTAATAAACATTTTTGTATACATTTCATAACAAAGAATGTTGTTGAGGCTTCAAAAAACTGCCAGCCACAAAAAAGAACTGGCGATAATACAAAACATAATATGCACAGTCTTGGGTAGATTTTGAATGATTTAAATAACACATTATGAACTTGGAACAATATACTTCATATCTTATATCTTCATTTCACTTTTTTCGTTTCCTGCTTGGCAAGCTTCTCTTCTTTTTTCTTTTCCTCTGCGACTTTTTCTTCATCAGTGGAGTCTTCATATCTGAAATTTTATTTTTGAAATGTGATTTTTTTATTTTTTCTGATTGCTGCATGAAATAGTGCTACAAAATTCACTTAACAAATGCTGACATTTGGTATATAGGGTGTTCATTTGAAGACTTCCCACCACAGATTTATCAAAAACTTCACTTCACCCTCGAACCCCCAGTTATTCCCTTAAAAATGTTAAATGACAAGGGGTATCGAGTAATAGCTTGTTTGAAAGGTCTTTATTTTGACGTTTGATTTTTAAAAATCGGCCGATTCGTTATCAAGAAAATTATAAAAATTTTTATTCATCTTAATTTGTTTAGATAGAAAACAAAAACGCACGAAAATATCACTTTGTATTTCAATAGGTGTTGGTCAAACAATGATATAGGTGATGTGATCTTTATTATCAAGGAACATCTGAAATGTACGTTGTGACTCTGGGTGATAACATTATTAGTTTTTTACCATCCTCCATTGTCTGGTATAGGTTTAATGCCAATAAAAACATAACCTAATAATCTTGACACAATTATCGTTATCCCCACTATTCCGGAGCGTATAACACCGATAAAAAGCTGGTGCACAAGGGGGCAGGAGAGTTCAAAAATGAGCAGCTCAGGTGCGTGACACTCTAGAGCACTAGAACGGTATTGACAGGTGGTGGGTAGCTTCAAGTTACACGAACGATGCACTGGAAAGCACCTCAGCTACCTTCGAGCAACTGGTTTGGTTGTCATCTCTTTGGTGTGGACGCTAGAATTTGAATACTTGTGCCGAGTCGTGTTGCGGTAAAAATGGTCCATAAAATTTACTTACTTGAACATGGCGGCAATATCACCCTTCACCAACGCGAGACCTAGCGGCACTCCTATGCAGGCGGGCACCAAATACAGCAGTGCGGGTTGCGCATGCTTGAAGACGTGCATCACAAAAATGGTGGCCGTCAGGCCGAGGAAGTACGCGATCACAGAGGCGTGGAAGTATGTTTTGGTATCGCGCTTCAGACTATGATCGAAACGCAGCAGCAGAGCAATAAAAATGCCAGGAATGACGATGTCCCCAAGGCCCAGCATGGCGAAGTTGTTGGCTGACATGCCGTTTTGCAGCAGGTCTTGCGGGAATACCACTGGAAAAAATTAGATGGGTTAGGGAAGCACAATTATATTTAGACAAGGTTAAAACCCTGCATTTGGGAAATAACTTTTCCGACTCAATTTTTTTATAATCACGTTTGTTATACAGGGAAAACCCAGTTTGTTAGACATGTTAGAATGAGATATTCGTCGGCTGAAGAGCTAAGGTCATCACCACATTGTCTATCAACGGTGACGCAGAAGATCGTGCAATCTAATCTAAAATTATGTTTCGCCAGAAAATGTTCGCAAAGGCTTCTACAATGAGTCACGTAACTGTCAAACCAAAGAAGGAGGTCTGTTCGAACTCGGGACTTCATGCCGAGTGTAGTCTTTACATGCGAGACTATAATATAAGAATAGTTACAGGACTGGGGTGTCGATTTAAAAATTAAGAATTTACTTTTTGGAAAGAAGTCTCATACTCTATAAAAAATATAGATATACACAATAGTGTAGATGAAGTTTGGACAGGTAAAATAATTAGAGACCAAAACAAATATACAATGCTAATTCATATCTTTTGTTTACATAGTGGAACATTATCTCAGATCAGTTTACCTTTGGAATTGTAAATATAACGGTATTAATTTATTAAAACAGAGAATCTTAAAAGATGTAATATTATCCTAGTACTAAATTACACGTTACATTCCATTCAGTCAACTGTAATAAAATGTCTGCAATCCTGGAATAATAGCAAACATTGTCCTTTTTGATAATGAAGCAGCCATGAAGGCAGGTCGTAAGTACCAAGGTACCGCGACCTCTATAAGAAGTGTGAGAGGTTTCAAATGTTTTGCTAATCCGATTTTTGAGGTGCTTAATATTAATAGAACTGGAAAAAACCTCATTAGGCAGATTGTGCTATAATCTAGATACTTTATGTTCAAAATGGTCGTACGACCACTTTTGATGACCATGAATAGATCATTGCTTTTTGTTTTACCAAATAAAACATTTGGACTAGCTTTAACATTGAATTGAAAATAAAATGACTGTGATATATCACCGATAGTGGTGTCGCCAATTCTCGTGGCGATCATATAGTGTTCAATGTTGAAAAGCGGAAACAATCCCCGGAAAAACCCATTCATAAAGTCTGTCGTAGATGAAGTACCGGGTGCGCCATCTTTTATGTCGGAATTGAAACATCGAATGACTTTGATATTTACCAACCGAGTGATTTGGTTATACGTGTTTCTGAAACGTCAGGTTACTACAATTTTAGTCATGAATCGCTTTGTACCGAAACAACGCGCCGAAATAGTCACAAGGTACATTGAAAATCGTCGTTCAGTTGTGTTAACGCAACGTGCATATCGTCGAAAATATCGTGGCAAACAGGCACCGTCTGACAACACCAACCGTCGTTTGGTTTCGAATTTTCTTCAGTACGGGACACTGGGAGATCGTGAACATCAACAACCAAGCCGTTCCAATGAATTGGTTGAAGGGGTCAGAGACAGCGTTGCCCAGAACCCAAAAGTGTCGTATCGTCACCGCGCTCAGCATTTTGGCATCAGTGGAACCACGTTGCGGCGCATTTTGAAGGATGATTTGCATTTGTTTCCTCATAAGGTGCAGTTAACACAAAAAATATTGCCAACTGACCGTCCACGTCGCTTGGAATACGCCCAGTCGCTCGTATGGTTGATGCTGAACCTGTTTTTTGGAAACAAATTGTGATGACCGACGAGACCCATTTCATGCTCTCTGGCGGCGTTAATAAGCAAAACTGCCGCATTTGGGTGACGGTGACTGTTTGGGCCGGCGTTTGCGCCAAAGCCATCATTGGGCCATTTTCCTTCAACGAAAACGAAACAGTCGATGGAAATCGATATCGGTGGATGTTGGCTCATTATGTCTGCCCACAAATGCGTGAAAAAAGTCTTGATGGTTACTGGTTTCAACAAGACGGTGCGCCATGCCACACTTCAAATGAAACAATCAAGTTTCTGCAACGAAAATTCCCTGTACGTCTGATGTCAAAAAGAGGTGACATTAACTGGCCACCCAGGTCTCCAGATTTGACCCCACCGGACTTCTTCTTGTGGGGTTATCTGAAAAGTCAAGTGTGCGCCAGCAAGCCCCAGACCACTGAAGAACTCAAGGCAAACATTCGTACCGCAATCGCCGCTATACGACCAGAGATGCTCGCAAAAGTAATGGAAAACTCAGCAAAACAGGCACATTTTGTTTTGGCCAATAAAGGTGGCCACTTGATAGATGTTGTTTTCAAAAACTAGTCCCAATAAATTGTAAATGGCCATATTTAATAAAAATACCCGATTGTTCGTTATGTCATGTTTACATACCGACGTAAAAGATGGCGTATATTCACATCATAGTATTTTTCCCATTTAGATATTTTCAAATAAGAGTAAACTTTTCTCCAACATATTTTTTTAACAAGTAGTACTCACGTTTGATAGGTGCTTCAAAGCTTTTGGCAACAGTGACCATTACATCAGTGCCAAAAACCCAAAAAATGTCATAGAAGAACAGACCACTGAGTAGAATGCATCCAGTCACAACATTGTTCAAGTGGAGCAATTCCACAGCATTCACAGCAAATGCTAGACCAAACAGATTGTTTGCCACCCAGTGTTTTTGAACTAAGTACCATGCGCCTACCAGCAAACATGCAATTAATGCTACCACATCATAGGTTGAAAACCTGAAAAATTAAGGCTTAAGTAATATTTATCGACTTATTATTATTATTAGACATATTACAATACATCTACTTTCTTTGATAATACAAGAACTATAAGCATTATGTAGCTTTGAATTTTTCGACTAACTGTTAAGAATTCTACCAACTTTTCTACACGACTAAAATTCAAAATGGTTAATTGTATTATCAACAAGTTGACTGTATTGTAAAGGGTGTTTCAACAAAAAGGCTTTTGAAATTTTTTTTTGTACAAATGGTATGGCGTTAACTTGATGACAGCCGTCATGTCCAGACCACGCAATTAGACGTCATGGAGCGGTATTCAAACGTTTAGCAAAGTTTAATTATTGTGAAAACCGACTACAAAAAAAAATGGAGAAAATTACGCGGAAACAGTTCGCAAATTACGTTCAACTTTCAGTCGCAATAATGCGCCAAATGAGTCGACAGTTCGTCGTTTAATTACAGAACGAGAGACAAAATTCACGTTGTTGAATGTGAAGACCACTGTTCGTGGCCGTCCTGATCGGTCACTCGAAAATATAGTCGCAGTACGGAAAAGTGTGTCCGAGAATCCAGGCACTTCAGTTCGGCATCGTGGCCAAGAATTGAACCTTACCAGATCCACTCTGCAACGAATTGCATGCGTACAAGGTTCAACTGACGCAAGAACTCAACCCAACGGACGATGCGCAGCGCCGTGAATTCGTTGATTGGGCGTTTAGCTCCACCAAATAGATGGGGATTTCTCAAAGAAAATCATTTTCTCTGACGAGGTACATTTTCAACCAAACGGGTACGTCAATAAGCAGTACTGCCGAATTTGGGGTTCGTGTGATAATCGAACAACCAATGCATCCACTGCGAGTTACCGTTTGGTGCGCATTGTGGAGTGGCGGAGTGATTGGACGGTATTTCTTCAAAAATGCAGTTGAAACTGCGGTAACTGTTAATGGTGTGCGGTACCGCGAAATGTTCACCGAGTTTTTGTGGGCACAGTTCGATCGAATTGATGTGGAGGATATGTTCATCCAACAAGACGGTGCCTTGCCTCACAGCACGTGAAACAATGGTGTTACTGTGGACCAAGTTTCCAGACCGTGTCATCTCTCGGTTTGGAGATCAAAATTGGCGACCACAAACAGTTGAATGCCTTAAAGAAGAGATCCGGCGAGTTATCGACGAAATAGAGCCACAGTTGTGCGAAAACGTTATCCAGAATTTTACGAAAATACTGCAAAAGGTTTTGTGGTGGCCATTTACCGGATGTCCTATTTTTTGTTTAATCGCAACTATTTCTCTTCCTGTTGAAATATAAATAGTCGCTTAATTTGAAAAGAAATTGTGTTTTCCTTGAAAATCAAATCCGGCGTTCTTATTGAGACACCCTTTAGTAGGGCAATTAGCCTAAATGTGCCCCGACAAAATGTTTTTGAAGGTAATTATTTGCACAGTATGATTTTCCTTATTGCAAATTTGTGAGCTTGTGAGATATGCTTTCATATAGTAGTTATGCACACCACTTGAAACTTTAACTAAATGGGATCCAGGTGAAGCACTTATATCAGATGTTGTTGAGTGACACTGTCATGTGACAAATTGTGTGTGTGCATAACTAATCTTTTACAAACGAGTATCTGGTTCCTCCAGCTTCGGATGTCATGTATTAATGTTATGTGGGTGAATATACAGCATTTAGGTTTTTAGCCTTAACTAAGAAAAATAGATTATTTTGTTCTCATTCATTTTGTCACAAGGCTATATGATATGTGATTCATATATGACAGGGTGAGATAATATTTTGTTTTTGATAGCTTTTATAGGTACGAGGGGAAAGTGTATGGCCAGATGGGTGACATTTAAACTATGAAAAAGTTACTTTAAATACCATTAGCTGAATAAATTCAGTAGTTTTTTATTGAAAATAACAAGTATTTACCTCCATCAGTCTTGAAAGGGAATTGTATAGATTGAGACCTTACATACCATCAGGGTATCAATTGTCTGAAAGCCAGAACATTTTTTTATAGTGGGTTTCAGCTGCAACTTTCATTGATTATAATATTTTTTCGGAAAGAAATGACAAAAAGTAGAAATAAAAGAGTAGATAAAATAATTAACATGTCAGATAAGTGATGCATAAGTAGTGTCAAAAACATAATGACCTCAAAAATAATTAAAATGCATTAACTACTGTATTGTATTCTTGAATACAGAAGTATTCAAGAATGGTTTTCTACATAGTTGCAGTCAATTCAATGATATACTTACTATGGCAAATATTGAAACCACTGGCACTCACTCACTACATGAGCAACTGACGCGTTCCTGGTTTCAGCAGGCCAAATCGCGCTAGTTTCAAACTGTCATTCCTTTATTTGCTTTGCATTGATTAAGTTCAAATCGCAAAATTGTCAGATTTACAAGATAATGTCCAATTTTTGCTGCAATCAAGGGTGACCCAATTTTCAAGAAACACTAGTTCGTGTTTTTTATGCGTTTCTACAAATTCTTGGTGTCTCTGTGTAATAGAAGCTACAAATACAGAGATTTATATTTCTAGAGAAAGTTGGGAATAGATCATGACAAGAATGAAGGATGATATTTTACACTACTTGGATGGTTTATTTGCACAGTTTGTCGATTTGGTAAGATTTTCTTGGTGGAGCATTGAAATCAAAAATACTGAATATTCACCCATATATTTGTTGTAGCAGCAGATATCTGCTGCCTCTGCTCACAAATACAAGAATCTTATAAATGTCAAAGTTATATCAATTGCTGTTGTAAAGTAGTTAATTATAGAATGGATCTCATATTGGAATCCCGAGGCATACCTTGTGAAAATAATAATCTGATGGCCAACAATATTATGAGACAGTGGATAAATGGATAGATGCCAATATAAGATACAAACCTGTAATCCACAAGGTAATGTGCTGAATCACCTTCCCCCTGTTTGAACATGATGTGGTATGGAATGTTTGGTACTGCAGCTGGTACTAATTTGCTCACAATTGGACTAAAAATATGTAAAGTGTGAAAAATACACAAAAGCTACTTTCAAACATCAATGAAAATGTTTTAACACCTTTTACCATATATAAAAATTATCAGTTTTCATGACTATTGTTGTTGCTAGGAAAGTTTCATGCGGTTATGAAGCCTGCAATTCAGAGGGGAGGTAACTAGTAAATCAGTACCATAACATACAGAAACCAATGATGTCAAGTAGATTGACTCTGTACTTCCGACGCAACACTGCAGTTAGTTCATATTGGATTATGTTCAGCACAAACTAGACCCTCTAAGAAAAAAGGTCAGCCAAAGTAGACTAATGTACAGAAAAATCTATGAAATATGTCTAAAAGATACTTCGAATTATAGAGATTGGGAGCATAAAAATCTATCTACCAACATCAAAAAATTGAGATAAGACCTCCTCACCCCCCTACAACCTCCACTCCCAAGTTTATTTACTTCTAAACATTTTTTCAAGAATGATCAAGATCCTCTGGAATGTCAAGAAACAATGATTGAGCTATTTCTATTCTTCGAGTTTTTGGCCTCTTCTCTGCTGCTACAAAGCTTATGTTTGTGTCCTTGGCATAGTACTAACATCGTCTAAGAATTTCATCCAAATCTGACAGGTACTTCTAAAGTTATAGGTTTTCGTGATTTACATGTCATATACTATTCAAAAAACACATCTCACTTTAAAAAAATTATCAACAATATTTCCTGGCAGTAAGCATGGCAAATAAGGCAAAACCCAAATGTCATTGCCTAAGTTTATAAATATAGGCAGTAACACACAACTCATTTTGAGTTACTTATTGAAAATGCTGTCAAATCTTGATGATATTTCGTAGTACAGAATTCATCCTGCAATACACTGATATTTCAATTAGAATATACATATATTAAAATAGCATAGATTGTGCTTTTGTGACACACACACAGTAAGGGTATTGATGTCCTCCAGATTTTGACACCTTAATTTTTGTACAATTTAAGGTTCAGATGGCAGATGATAAATTAATTTACACTTTCTGTCTTTCAAAAAATCAAACAGATATGTTGTTTTGCCTGAGTGGAGTATATGCCTTCTAATATTATGATTCTATTGTAAAACATATATCAATAAGAAATGCACTGAAACAAATGAATAGCAAATAAAATCAGTTGTCCTTTAATTGAAAACATACAGATAGTTTCGATACCTTAGAAAAATGTGTCTACATAATTATGTATAGTGGCAGATGGAAACAGATGTTTGTCATATTTAAATGTAAACTAACAATATTCTTACCTCATTAAATGTGTGAGGGCAAGTACTCCAAGAAAGAAAAAGTATCCAGTCAACAATAGATTAATATACTCTTTAGAAAACAATTTAAACACTACATATAGTGAAAAGAGAGCACATGAAGCCATTATTGGGAAAATTGCTGCGTCCTTCTTTGTCATTTTTTCAGGTTTCTGAAAGTATCAATAGATACATTAAAACTTAACATTTCCACGTATTAAAAAATGATATGGGCTACATAAAATCATGAATTGTAATAAAGTATGTTACCTTCTCCTTATGGTAGACGACAGATCTGTAAGAACCAAAGAAAATCGGCAAAATTGCCATTACAACCAAACTTCCGTAGGCCACAGCCATCCCTTCTGGGGTGCTCGGCGTTTTTCCGGTCGCATTTTTCGCCGTTTCTGTTACATTTTCTACTGCCTGCGACACGATTGTGTTGGCAAGGTCTGCCATGTTTTTGATTGAATGACTAGAGGATGACGTTTTGATATGTCAGATGGCTGTCAACTTCAGGTCATTTTGACAAATACTGGTGGAGAGGGCACAAAACGGGCCGCTGAAAGCCAATCGGAAGAAGGAACACGTATGTTTAGTCAACCAATAGGAACGCAGTTTGACTCACTAGAACTTTCATATGCGTGCTGAGATTTTTTTGCGACGGTGATAAAATACCTAGGAATTTAGACTCCATTCTGTTTAATCATGGATTCACTATTCTACTTCAAGAGATGGCCCTGCAGGACATCGCCACCGCGCCCGCGTTGTGTGCAATTAAGCCACATCACAGAAAAATTATTAATGTCGCATCAAACATTTTCGCAATGCCTCACACCTAGGCGCTGATTTGTATTTTGTATTGATATCGCAAAAAAAATCTATAAAATGTAAATGACTGGAAATAAAATATTGTACTAACCTTTTCACTTTCCTGAATATTCCTGTCTGTAGCATATTTTCTCACCAGTTTCTTCACCAACCAGGGATTGTCTTTTCTTATCTCTCTCATTTCTGAAGTTCAAATTTGCATACCTTATTTCCAGAATGAATAAGGAAAAGTGGATGCGCAACTAATTTCTAGCTTTGAATCTGAGTGTACTTGAGACAAGAAACCAATGTAATTATAGTAACACATATTATTAACACACAAATCCTCACTATGCACTTATGCTCTGCCGTTTCCTTCTAGCCATAGTATACAGCTTACAGGTTAGACATCCGATAATGCCATCTCCCAAGAAGATTTTGCATCACATCAGAGCCAAACATTGATAACTGAAGCATCATGACGTTTAGGCAACACGTACAACTTCAAAACGAGTTCACAACAAGTGTCCATCAGCTAGTGCTAAGCATCTTGTAGAAAAACCTTCATACTGTCACAAAAAAATCAATATAACGTCAAAAAAAAACCGACGTAATGTAACTTGTCAAGATACGTACTCGTAACACCCGAGCCGCACTAATTAGAAATCTACTTTGAAAACGTTAGTTTTCATTGATGGTGCTGTCAAGAACTGTATTAGTATATAGCATATGTTTGGTTACAGCGCCATCTATGAGAGAATAACCTTTTCAAGGTAGATTTCTCATTATTGTGGATAGGAGCTATGATAAATTTTCATAATGATGCTACGGTATCTCATTTCATCTTAGATATATTTATTGTCGCGGGAATATAGTATTTTAGGTAAAATATATTCATTAATGGTTTACCTAATCGATTCGTTAACTTATTGACTTATTCTCAAGAAGATGGGCAAACCCGTATTTGGACGCTCAAATACATTTTCCATGGTCCACATTGCCTAGTAGGATAACAGTATAATTACTGTTATCCTAAGGTAATCCTTAGGGTTAATATACAGACAATTGTCAACGCCGAGCAAATAAACGCAAGCACATGTGACGTTGCGTTTGTAAGGTATTGGAATGCGCTCGTCTACACGTTGTTTACATCTAAGTTTCGAGTTGAACCGCGTCGGTTTAAGTTCGGTGCTAATATCGAGCGATGAGTCCTCTCATCGAATGCAGACAAACAACTAAATACTAGAGCCCCAATTCTTGAAAACGAGGCTGTCGAATAATCCTTGATTTCTTATCTTTTCTGACATCTGTTTTAACGTTTATCAAATAAGTTTGTAAATACATCCATTTTCGGAAGAATATGATCCCAGGTTCCTCATATTGTAACTCCCTCGTAACTGGGACCTTGAGTAACGATGAGAAGTCCCCACCCGCTTAGGCAACTATAGTTTGGTTCCAAATTGGAAGGCAGTAGAGAACTGTTTGCGATGTTGCCACGCGCTCATCGAAGAAATCCACTGAAAGTCTACATATTGAATTTTTGCATGAACATTCAAATCTTGAACAATTTTCTTCTGGTCTCCTCTTTAAACTAAGATATACAGGGTTTGTCCGGAAAGTAATAGGACTGAGTCGATTTAAAACAAATTATTGAGTCAATCGTTACAATTCTTTAAAAACTTTCAAAATAGGCTACTTCTGCGTCGATGCAGCACTGCCAGCGCGATTTCCAAGCATTGAAGGCGTCAAGGAAGGCATTCTCCGGATTAGCCTTGAGAGCCGCGGTGCATGCTGCTTGGATCCCCTCTGTCGTCTCAAAACGCTTGCCTTTCATCGGCCTTTTCAGGCGAGGATACAAAAAAGTCCGGGGGGCCACATCTGGGCTGGACGGCTGCGGAAGCGTTGGGATGCCGGCCTTGGTCAGGTAGCTGTTCACAAGAAAGGCGGTGTGAGCCGGGGCGTTGTCGTGGTGCAACTTCCAGTCGGCTGCGATGTCTTGTCGGACCCGACTGACCCTTCGTTTGAGTCTCCTGAGCACTTCCACGTAAAACTTGGCGTTGACGGTTTGTCCAGGAGGAACAAATTCATGGTGGACGATGCCTTTGATGTCAAAAAAGACAATGAACATCGTTTTCACTGTGGATTTGCTCATTCTTCCCTGTTTTCCCTCTTTGTCTCGGGATCATACTCAAAGATCCACGACTCGTCACCTGTGATTACGTTATTCAAAAATTGGGGGTTACTTTCACACATGTTCAAATAATAAGTATAGACGAGTTTTGGACACCATGACGCCCACTTTCTATTAGTTGTTATACTTTTCCATTTTCAAGAATTCACTTGATGCCTTTGTGTAGTTCTATGTTCGAACATGACTCATATTATAAGGTGTATGAAAAAAGAGAGAACAGAGATTATACGTTTTTTTCTAATAAGCATTGAAATAAGCATACAATTTATTGTTTTAACTTTTTATTCAACAATAAATAATATAATAAAAGCGGTAGGTCGATCCTACAAAAAATGTACAGATTGTTCTATTTGCTTAGTCAAAACATACTGAATCTTAGAAAACCACCACGACAACAAAGAGAGAGAATAAATTAGACCTAATTTAAAACACGTATATTTATATACGATACAGTTTTTTTTTGTAAGATAGGTAACCGTCGCTGAATACTTTACAATACGTAAATCTTACGTAGTATTATTTTACATATGAATCTATTATAATAGTGCGTCATCGTTTCAGGAAATTCCGTCATTTTGTATTGCCCCAGTAGCTCTTCATCAATTGGCAATCATTGCAATGATAATTTTTCTTTAAAAATATTTAATCAAGGTCGATTTCATAAACGTTTGACGGTTTCTGTGTTAAATCAGAAAAGCTCGTTTCAGTTGAAATTCTGGTGAACATTGTGAAGCGGATTTTTGCTGAACTATATTGTCAGACGCAACTGTTTTCACAATATGACTGGGGATCCCTCTTACTTATACGAGACACAATTTCATGAGACGACGTTGAAAGATTGTGTGAGTGCTTCGACAATTTTTCACTTATACATTTACGGTTTTTGATGACTTACGCTGCGGGCAGTGGTTTATAGACCGGCTAGGATGACGCGCGGGTCTTCCACGGCTTGTTTGATTTTCCTTAGGAAAAGAACAGCCTCACGACCATCGATCAATCGGTGGTCGTACGTCAGGGCGACGTACATCATTGGTCGAATCACAACCTGCAAAATTAAAAAAAAAAAACGTTTCAAAAAAACATACCTAAAACGCATCCATTAATAAAATACTAAAGCATTTTAGGGGATTTTGTTAATGTCAACCTTTGTTTTTCCATTGTTAATCGTTAATAAAGTCCGCGCTCAATGTATATTTTGCGTGAACACGAGAGATTCAGCATAAAGGCGGCCGCCAGTTACAGTAGCGGACAAAAGTTTGGAAAGAAATATTAAGATTATGAACTATTTGATATACCTAAATTGAAATTGTGAAGGAATAGATAATATAAATATTAAAGTCTACTTTTGGCTCCCGTCTAATACAAGGTTTATCTTACCAATATTCAAATTCTCTGAAAATAAAAACACCCGGTTTTTAAAACGACAAAAGTATGGAAACATTTCAGTTTTGCCGTATTTATTCGTTCTGCGATACTCTGATATTGCGTGCGGCAAATATAATCATCAGCGAGAATGGCAAAAGTAAAAGGATTTTCAAAAGGTTTAAGCGACAAAGTAATTGAGTTATTTAGAAGTGGTGTCAGAAATGTTGACATTTCTCAAAGATTAAAAAAGAATAAAGGGACGATTTCGAAAATTATTAGTGAATATCAAGAATACGGATCAACAGCAACACGGCCCAGGTGCGGAAGACTGAAAAAAAAGATTATGTGCAGAGACGCTTGGTCGATTTTGGGCTTTTTGGTAGGCGTCCAGTGCAAAAGCCTCTCATTTAAAAAAAAAATCGCATTTCTTGGCTTGAATTTGCTAAAACTCATCTAACTTGGACAGAACAACAATGGAAATACAGTTTTATGGACAGATGAAAGCAAATTTAATTTGTTTGGATCTGACGGTACGGCATATGTGAGACGTCCAATGCGAAGAAGATTCTACAAAAAGTATCAGTTCCACCAGTTGAGCCCGGTGGAGGCAACATCATGGTTTGGGGCCGTTTTTCTAGTTCTGGAACGGGTCCAGTTGTTAAAATTGTTGGGAAAATGAATCAAAATTTTATATTTAAACGAGTACAATTTTGATATGACCTTGAATATAATGGTCAAGGTCACCCCACAAACCTCACCATTGCGTTGTGATGTCGGAAGTTTTTGCTGGGGCAAATTATTTCTAATGGCTTGATTTGACCTTGAAGGTCATGTTAGTGGTCATAGTCAAGGTCATATTCGGACGAAAACTTCCTTCCCAATTACGGTGTAAAAGGGGCCATCCGTCACACGACCGCTCAGCGCCGACAGCCGAAACGCGAATTAATTTCCTCTTTCGATCTTTCGTTTCTATGGTTTACCCCTGAACGGTTTCACGTACTCTTGAACTCTCTCTTCAAAATGCTACTATTTGGGAATTTTCGTTTGACCTTGAATGTCGCGGTTAAGGTCACGGTCAAAATCACCATCATTTTGCCTCCTCGAAGCCCTACAACTCTTGTATGAAACTTTTTTCTAGGATGCATAGTTTTCGAAAGCTTTAAGCGGAGAGATTGAAATGGGGCACACTGTATTGTTTAAACCGTGGTTTAAAAAGTGTGTTGCCCGGAAGGGTTATTACGTAAAAAACTATGTAATGTCAAAAACCGATTCTATGTCAACTTGATGACTACGTACATAATGTAAAAACACCGACATAATGTCAAAAAAAAAAACGACATAATGTCACGTTACGTAACACCACTGCCGGGCGCCGCGACATCTTCAATTAAACAATTCAGCAATTTTCTTTTAATATCCAATTCTCGAATTTTGGCGCCCACAATTGTGAAAAAGTGAAAAAAATTGAAAAAATCTGATGTATTATATACAGGGTGGCACATCCATGTGTGGACGGAATATTGCTGATAAACAAATACATTTTACAGGGTGTTCCAATTTTGACCTACATATCAAAGTTGTGATTTGTTAAATAGAATGCCTCAAATTTTATTGCAAATTTGGATAAACCAATTGAAAAGAAGAAGATTCATATAACATACTATGGGGTTTTCTTAATTAGCTACTGAGATATAAGGTGTTCTGTCTAGAAAAACCCCCCGGTTCGGCAACCCCTCAGTCCACCATTTTGAAATTGGGAGTGCTGAATGTTGTATAAAGAAAACTCACACATCTCAGCTTTTATCTTATTTGTTACTTTTTCGAATTTTCATTTTTGCTCATACAGGGTGGTCAAAAACGCGAATTGTACTTTTTCTCAATAACTTCAGAAGCATTACCCTATATATTTGTGTAAGTTTGGATTCAATTTTTTATAAGCTTTTTTGTTGTAAAAATCACTAGATTTTGAGTTATTAAGCTTTTAATAGAACACATCAAAATTAAGGAAAAAAATCACATCTTCCATGGACACAAAAGACAAACAGTGGGCAGTTCCATATTGCCACTAAGAGTACAGATTTGACGTAAAAACTAATAACAATCAGAACAGTATAAATTAGCTTCAAGCGTAATAGAGAAAAACAGCTATAACAACAACATAAACAAACAACTACCTATCACTACTCAAGACCTAATCTACAAGAACTGCTCGAAAATATCTCCACCATGTTGAATACACAGCCGTAGTCTTTGGATAAATGACTGTTGCACATCCTTCAGCATGTGTTCCCTTATGTTCAGAAAAGCATCTTTAATCTTTTCCTTCATATTTTCCGAGGCAGATGGTGGATATCTATAAACCTCTTGCTTAACGCAGCCCTATAGATGGTGATCTAGGAGGCCAAGATATAGGCCCACCACGACCGATCCAATGTTACTCCAGGTGTCCAAATAGTTACGCACACGATTATGATAATGCGCAGGTGCGCTGTCATGTTGGAAATACATATGTATGCATCTGAGTTTGCATGTTGACATACTCCAAAAGCAAAGGCAAATGCTCGATCAAAAAATTCAAGTATTCTTTACCTGTTAATCTATTGTCGAAAAAGAAAGGCCCGATAACTTGTCCCCAAACATTTAAGCTCCATTGATTTTGGAAATCTATTTGCCTAACCCAGTAAGGATTTTCCGTGGCATAATAGTGCATGTTATGCCTGTTGACGACACCTATGCTGTTAAAAGTTGCCTCATCGCTAAAAAGAACCTTATCCAGGAAAGCAGTGTCTTCACTCACTTTATTTAGTATTATTCTGCTGAACTCCATTCGACCTGCGAAATCCTGCGGACGAAGACCTTGATGCAAGCATATGTGATATGGTTGGTACATATGCTTGTGAATAATCCTTTGGACAAAAGTTCTGCATATATCAGTTTCTGCTCCACTGCTCCACTTGATTCAAAACGTTCTCGTAGTGTGGAAAATCTTCCCGGTCTTGGATGCCGCATATTAGGGTACCGTTGCTTATAAATGCGAGATGCTAGGAAACTATTTCTTTGGGCTTCGACAAAAACGAACACCATATTCACAATTTCTTCTTTAGAAAAATCCATTTTCAAACACGTTTTTATTATAATCCTCACAAAGCTAATTTTGACAGTTTGTAACTAATCAACAATTTATTATATATTAAAAGCTTAATAACTCAAAATCTAGTGATTTTTACAAAAAAAAAGTTCATAAAAATTGAATCCAAACTTGCACAAATATACAGGGTCATGCATTTGAAATTTTTGAGAAAAACTACAATTTGCGTTTTTGACCACCCTGTATGAGCAAAAATTAAATTTCGAAAAAGTAACAAATAAGATAAAAGCTGAGGTGTATAAGTTTTTTTTGATACAAAATTCAGCACTCCAAATTTCAAAATGGCGGACTGAGGGGTTGCCGAAGTGGGGGGTTTTTCTAGACAAAACACCTTATATCTCAGTAGCTAATTACCAAAACCCCATAGTATGTTATATCAATTTTCTTCTTTTGAATTGGCTTATCCAAATATGCAATACAATTTGAGACATTCCATTTGAAAAATCACAACTTTGATGTGTAGGTCGAAATTGGGACACCATGTATAATGGCCAATACTTTAGAAAAGTGCCCTCAAATGTCATGTATAACATCCCATAAATAGATTCTCCCAAAATGTATTTGTTTATGAGTAATATTCCGTCCACACATGGATGGGCCACCCTGTATATAAGTGCGCCGCGAAAAAAAAACCATTACTTAGGGAGGCGCAAACGGAAGCAGATTGGGAGCCTCTGGTTTAAACAATATTGATTAAAGGGCTTTTTGAATAAGATTATATAAAAACCCGAATCAGAATATTTTCCGTGCGGATGGGAAGACTATGAAATAATCCCCTGGAGGCAGGTTAGCCATATACCTATATACAGAATTATTAAATAAAGATAACTCATTATCAAACTTTGTTCCCTGCAACTGACAACTGGGTTAGTGGTGACCGAAATATTTACAGGATTCCGACGGATAAATGTTAACTTTAAACCTTTTTTTTTTCAAGGTTCAAGTGGCGATCTCATGTACTTTGCAGAGTCGTGTGGTGAGTATTTACTTATTTATTTTATTTTCATGTACTTGACCAAATTTTACAAACTAAATAATATAATAATGAATTTCAATAAATTGTCGTTGTACATTACCTGTCCTTTGATTGCCACTGGTCTGTCAAATATTGCATGCATACCCAATATCGACGATTGGGGCGGATTTATAATTGGTGTTCCCATAAGAGAACCAAACACACCTCCATTACTAATCGTGAAGGTACCACCATCCATGTCTTCTATTGCTATTTTTCCTATAAAAAGAAATGAAAATATTTTAATAATAGGTCGGCTTTTATGAAATATGAACTGAAACTCAAAATTGTACTGTAACGGCATCGTAACTGGAACCTAGAGTAATGATAAGGCGCCCTTGCAATAACGACGCTTAGGCAACCAGACTTAAGCCGTCAGATTCGTGTGTCTTCAATGTCACTAGATAATCAGCTGTTATTGGCACGCTTCACCGAGGTGGAATATCGTGAAAATATACTGAGTGACAAAAAAATGTAAACACCTACGTATGTTTATCCGATTTTAATAATTTCTGGCATATACAGTAATGGACAAGAGTATATAGACAAATTAATATTGTACTGTATTTCTTTTTTAACTTGTTTTATTAAAACACCATCCTGTATACATAATTCGTTATTGAATAATACTCACTTATACATAAATAAATTCATTAGACACCCTTCAAGAAAAAATTATTTGAAAAAAACTGGAACTATGAAGGACAAAAATATATAGACAAAGCAAAACAATTACATATAGCAAAAAGAAGCAAAGTTCATTAAATTATAGAAAACCAACCATGTTTGTGTTAATACTTTGTAGCATAACCATTATTATCAATCACCGCCTAAGATTCATCAATCTGTTTCCACTTTTGCTTTAAAGCGGCATAAAGTTCATCCTTGTTTGAATAATTTTTATCTCGTATTTGCTTATCTAAGTATTCCCATAGATTTTCAATCTGGTTTATATCGGGAGACTGTGAAGGCCATTTGAGAACTGGTATATTTTCATCCAGAAAGAATTTCTTTGCGAGATTTAAGTGTGCTTCGGGTCATTACCTTGCTGGAAGATTGATCTTAAGGGCATATTGTCTTCCATATAGGGTAACATGACATGCTTTAGTATGTCTGTGTATACAAACTTATCCATAGGTCCCATCCCAAACCCCGAAAAGCACCCCCAAACCATAACAGACCCGCCTCCATGTTTAACAGTGGGCAAAGTGTACTTGGGGTTCAATCTTTGTCCACTAGGACGTCTAACGTAATGAACACCATCTGATCCAAACATATTGAACTTGGATTCGTCACTGAAACATACCACAGATGCTCCAATCAAGATGCAACCGGTTTTTTCTCGAGATTAGCGGCTTCTTACTCGGGCGACCTGCATCCCCCCTTCTCATACTTGCCCGACTATCGTGCATCCCCAGACAGAAGCGGGATTCGTCACTAAAGACCACCTGATTCCCGATCCCATAGAATTCTTTCTCTACACCAGAGCAAACGGTTACGCCTATGTTCAGCTGTGAGAGGTAGCACCCAATGTGGGTGATAAGAAAAAAGGCCAAACTGTCGTGTTCGGCGATATACCGTACGCATACCAACCATCCTTCAATGCTCTTCAAACCAATGGTTAGCAATGGCTCCAGTACTAGAAACTTCGATATACCTGCTTATCGGAACCCGACAATTCGACCCCTCTCAAAGTCACTTAGCTGGGCCACCCGGTCAATTCTACACACTCTAGGCATTTTGAGCAATCACAAAAAAAGGCTTCCCAATATGCTACACGAAATTTAACATTTAACTGACACCGTAAATGTACGAAAATGAATGCTTCTTATCACCAAACAATACACCACAAAAACTTAACAGAAAAACCTGACCATTTTATCACTTGCTCATTGATGGCAAGATACATCGATGTGTTAAAAATTCTTGAACCCTAATAAACATACGTAGGTGTTTACCTTTTATTGTCACTCAGTATAGTATAAGCAAATCTTGTTCGACCTTAGTATATATTGAAAAGCATTATTTTCGTATTCATATGGAAGATTTAGGGCCAATTTCACCAACAACAGTCCGTTATTCTCCACCTATAGGGTAACAGTCCGTCAAATACAGCGAATGAGCTTCAAGTTCCAATCAACAAATTTTAGCAACCAATAGCTATGAAATGTTGAAAACAAAATACTGTCAAAGTATGAGATGACATCTTGTCATTGAAACATCATCAGCTTATTGACTATTAAGAAATTACATATAATTCAGTCAAAATTTAAACAAATTTTTGAATAAAATTCATGATTTAATTACTATTGTTGACTTTTTATTCATGTTTATATTATTTTCTTCAATTGATATGCGATTTTACTGATTCAAGATCATCTACTCGGTGTTTTTTCCTATAAATCTCTTGCAGATAGCCATTAAGCACCTACTTGATGACTGGTTCTAGCAAAAAGTTCGTTTTTCTTGCAAATTCGCACAATTCAACAGGTATGTGTAGCTATAATGATCACATATACACACAGTATATTGAACTTAACAAATTTCGAGATTGCCATGAATTAACAAACGACCAAACCTGCTGCCAAATTTAACAGCTAGAAAATGGACCTATTATTTCTCCCATTCCCATTCACTGAGGGGATAACGGATGCTCAAATGTACACCTATAACATAAATCAAAATACATGAAAGTTGTACTGTTCTCTGTACAAAAGCATCATGTTGGAATCAAAAAGTGGTCTTGTTTATAATACAGTCGAATTTTCACGATTTTATTCAACATTTTAATAGAAATCACTGATATTCTGAGACCTTTGACAGCTTCCGTCAAATTGCATTTCGATAAGGTATTTTCCTATTGGTCCATAATATTAATGTTGGTGAAATCGGCCCTAAGACTAAGAAAAAATATTCAAGCTGTCCCGAAAAACTATAAACTGACAAATGTTTACCTTTCCTGGCTTTGTCAGCCAGTTGCGCCATAGCGTTCTCGATGTCAGCAAAATTCATGCTCTCCACGTTCCTAATGACAGGTACGACGAGTCCTTTAGGCGTGGCTACGGCTACAGAAATATCTACGTAATCTCTGTACACGATCTCTTGACCGTCAATGACAGCGTTCACTACGGGCTGGTCTTGCAGCGCATATGCGGAGGCCTTCAGGAACGCCGACATGAAGCTTAGCTTCATCCCGTACTTTTTCTGGAAAGCTTCCAGGTTGGCTTTACGGAATTCCATTATGTTACTAGGAAAGAAAAATAAAAATACATGAATGAATTAATAAAATAGGCTTATTGGAACATAGTACAGTAATAAGTAATACCCTATTCGGAGCTAAGGGCAGATTTCATACATACATACACATACGCGAGAAATATTTCTTCGAAAATGCAGCCGGAAGTGTGGTAACTGTTAATGGTGCGCGGCTTCGCGAAATGTGAATCGAGTTTTTGTGGCCCCAGTTGGATCGAATTGATGTGGAGGATATGCTCTTCCAACAACACGGTGCGACCTGCCACACAGCACGCGAAACAATGTTGTTACTGTGGACCAAGTTTCCAGACAGTATCATCTCTCGATTTGGCGATCAAAATTGGCCACCAAGCTCGTGCGATCTAACACCAATGGACTTCTTCCTCTGAGACTATGTGAAGTAAAAGGTGTATGCGAACAAGCCACGGTTGAACGCCTTAAGGAAGAGATACGTGTTACCGACGAAATAGAGCCACAGTTGTGCAAAAACGTTATCCAGAATTAAAAAAAAAAAGACTGACCCTGTGCCAGAGGTTTCGTGGTGGCCATTTACCAGATGTTTAATCGCAACGATTCCTCTTCATGTTGAAATATAAATACTCGCTTAATTCGAGAAGAAATTGTGTTTTTATTGAAAATCAAATCCGGCGCTCTTATTGAGATACCCTTTATTTGTCGCTGTTACGTCAGATGAAAACTATTCTTTGATAAAGAATAGCGAATCTTCGTTCGAACGCAGAAGTACAGAGAGTACGGATTCTAATTCAAGACCCAACGAAGTTTAGAAAATCCAGAACAAGGCTAAATATCTAATAGTAATCCTCAACATAAATACTTACGACATATCGATTTCGTTGAATGTTGTCAACATAGCGTTTACATTCTGCGCTTCCTTTAATCGTTCTGCTATCTTCAATCGCATTCTATTCATCTTCACTCGCTGTTCGGTCCTCGTTCCAGTTATTTCTTTTGTATAGTCCTGTCAAAATATTTATACTACAGTGCAGTAGCTACGGATATTAAAACCAGATGTACTATGTTGATTCAATATACATGATGTTGCCATTTTAAATAGCCCATCTAGGGCAGTTAAAAAATGGTAACAAACAGCATGCGAGTGTTATCTCAAAATACCTCCCATTTTTTAAGTAACGACCATTCACATAAAATAAATGATACATCATTAAAAAGCTTAAATATTTATATAGTTTGGTAAAAACTGAGGCAGTTTTTATATGCCCACGTCATAGGTAGATAAATATGGTCTGCTTTATTGTCTGAAGAATACAATCATTCTTAATGATAAAGTTAACTTAAAACTTTAATATAACAAATTAAAACTCATATAATATGGAAAATACCTAAGTACCTAATTTAAAAAGGCCACGTGGTGGTCGTAATGTCGTACAATAAACACCTATTTAAACATGCGTATGTGGTTTGATTCGGTCAGATAATGGAGTTTTATGAACATGAAAACCGCAGAATAAGTTTCAGGAGTTACATAAAATAGATAATATACACTTAGAACTGCAACGATCGAATAAAAAGTTCACGTTAGATTATGAAAACTTGGAGTTATGGTAGAACTGGTATGAGGCACTTGGCTAAAATATTATCAAAATTGGTTGTACCGGAAGTAGATACAAAGTTGCTTGTTTTGAATGAAACACCCAGTATATTTTTCAATTTTGAACATCTTCGCATGATTCAAAATACATTCCATGTACGAGTATGACATCGAATATCTATTCATTTTTGAGGATTATCAATTTTTTTGTAAAAAAAATCACACTGCATGTCCACAAAAGCCTATTAATTTTTCGAATATTTTTGTCCTTGTCGAATGATTTGTAACTGTTTTGTTAAAGAAGAGAGTCTACTTCAGTAGACATTATTTAATATTCGATAATTAATAATACAGATTGGTCAGAAAAATCGGATGAAAATTAAATTGAAAAATAAACAAGACTCTATTTTTTTAAATCTCAACCCCATGTTTTAATAGGCTCATCATCTAAAAAAGTATAATTTTGTAAGAGGTCATCTACTTCCCAATTAGTTATTTATTAAGTATTTGCAAATAGTCGTTTTCTCACCATACATCTTTTTTTATGACCAGTTCAACATGATTTGCCATGGCGCAGTGAATTATTAAAAATGAGTCATAAGGTATGACCTTTTCATACGTGGTGCATGTAATGCACATGAAAAAAAAAACAAAAACCGGATCGTAGTCTCGAACTTCAGTTGTTCGCACGATTTTCACTGCCACGTCGGCGCTATATGCTCAATCAAATTTCAAACACGTATAGATAAAGTTATAATAATAGTAGCAGTGCTGCATAAGTGCATACGTTACTAATTGCAGATTGTGCTATTTGCTGCTGAAAAACCTTTATAAAATGACTCAAATGCGGTTATCAAATAACAAACACTGATATTATTACATAATTTTGTTTATCATTCGTGAGGAGTCTTACTAAAAACAAACATCTAAAATTATTTTTTAAAATGTCACACAACTCTATTTGAAAATACTTCCTAAACTGCTAATTTGCGAAGTAGATAACCTTACACAAAAATGTCATTTTTATTGCTTAAAATGATAAGATTATGAAAACAGGGAGTTTTCATTTAAAAAAATTGACTTTTGACATTTTTGCAAAATAATTTTCATTCGTTTTTTGACCACCCGGTATCACGAATAATTGTCTGAAGTCTAGTAAAGTAAAACGTCAGTTACAAATCGTTCGACAAGGACAAACATATACGAAAAATTAATAGGCTCATGCGATTTTTTACACAAAATTTGATATTTCTCAAAAATGGTTAGAGTTAGGTATATGATCTTATACGTAAAATGTACAAAGGGTACTTACTATAACAGTTTTGCAATATGACTCAACAAACGGACGCAGGAGGCTGCATGCTACTGCATGTTGAGACATGTCCATGAGTGGATAGCAGGCGCTAGCAGCACGTCTGTTGATTTAATTGTTCATTCGTATTGTCAGTATAAAGTGTGGACTACGGCATCGTGGTCACGTAGTGAGATAAGGGTAGTTTCACGGTATAACTTTACGCGTTGGTTTAAGCATAGACCAGTGCTTAGAAAAAATGACGCATTAAAGAATGATTGTCCTCATCTACGACTACATTCCGGTGGTACAGTGAATTCAAAGGGGCAATTTCACTCTGGGGGGCGCTGGGAGGGAAGGAAGGCCGCGAACGTCAGTAACAGAGAAAGGCATTACTGCTGACAGACGAAGACCGGAGAGTGATCAACAGAGAGAGGGGATGTTACACCTTCATGCACAAATTCATTCAATTCTGCATGACAATTTACACGTAAGGAAACTTTGTTCTATCTACGTACCGCATAATCTGTCAGAAGAGCAAAAGACTCGTCTTACGACTTGGTGCCGAAAGATGCTGAAAATATTTGATAAGGGGCAATCTCGGTATGTGAACAGCATCGTGACAGGTGACGAGACTTCGCTCTATTATTACGATGTGCCGACCAAGGCTAAAAACAAAGTTTGGATCTCTGATGATGAGGACACACCCGTGGCTGTCGGAAAATCCAGATCTTTTAAGAAAAAAATGATAGCTGTATTTTTCAAATCGAGCGGTATTATGGAGCGTGTCATTTTGGGCATACAGAAGACAGTCATAGCTAAGTGGTACACGGAACAGAGCCTAAAGTCATTGTGTCCATGAAAAATCTGCGACCAAACTCAGGAATGGACACTTGGTACCTCCACCATGACAACGCGCCAAAGCCTGCACCGAGTATTTGACCACTACTGGACTGAATCTCATTGTTACAGTCCAGATCTTGCTCCCTGCGACTTTGCACTGTTTCCGCATGTGAAAATGAAGATAAAATGAAACCAATTTTCTAGCGATGAGGACCCTCTGAGGGTTTGGGAAAACGAGTATGCCATACTCCTGGGTGCTGCTTTAAGGACAGGTTTTGGCGGATAGATAAGTGTATTGAATGCGCTGGAAATTACTTTGAACGCAGTTAATAAATCACGCTGTATTGCAAAACTTCTATAGTACCCTTTGTATTTAGAATCTCACAAATATTTCAATATATGTACATTGAGTTCCATTCAAAATAAGCAACTTAATATCTCCCTACGGTACAACCGGAAGTGCGACCATTTTAAAAATATTTTAGCCGAATTCAGTTTTACCATAACCCCAAGTTTTGATAAGTTTCTAAAGTTAAATTTTCGAGTAATCGATCGCTGTAGTTCTACATGGCATGTATGCTTTTCGTACCAAAAAAAGAAAATGGGGATCCCCATTTTTGAGATTAGCAAACCACATAAGTTTAAACATAGGTTCCCATAGGGGCCGTTCAAGTATTACGTAAGCAGATTTATTACAATTATTTACCCCCCATCCCTCTTGTCACCAAAAGTAAGCAAAGCTCTTACCCCCTCCCCCCATGCTTACGTAAATATTTGTCAATTAATGTATTGTTTTTTTTAATATTATAATTATAACGTTATAATTATAATTTGAAAAATAAGAAATTAGATTTAGGATAGAGATTATATTTTACTGATACGGTATTCAACATAGAGTAAAGGACAAAAATATTATATCTTACCATCATAACAAACTTATTTTAAATTTTTGGTACATATATTAAATTCAAATTAACAGTCTTCAGTCCATGAAACCCGAATCCATGATTCTAAGTTTTCGATGACATTGGATTGCTTGTGAGTTTGCTCGCTTTCATCGGATTTTGGAATGTCTACGTCGTTCTCATCGAGCCATTCAACATCATGGTGCTCTAAATTTTGAATAATGCACATCAGTTCATTAGCACGACGAGCAGCGACTCTTACAGGTCTAACTTTCTTATCAGTCTGCGTGTTTACTTTTTTATGGATATTTTCGATGTGACGATTTAGTGACTTGACGAAAAAGACCACACGTTTTGCATGTTCGATTTGATAGCCTCAATTTTACCGTCGGACAAAAATAATCGTAGGTCATTTGCAGGAAATCTTTGAGTGAAGCACTTAAGCGTAGAGCTCAATTGACTGGAAGATTAAGAAATTGCCCTCCTTCATCCAAAACCAAGTCATCAACTGTTTGTTTTACTTTTACAGGTGGTGGAAGAAACCTATTGTCTAGTAATCTAAATAGGACACTTCTTGGAAGACAGCATTCTGTATTTCTACATTTTACAATTTGAAGCAAGTATTGGCTCTCACACACATGTTCTGAATACCATTTAATGTCTGGAAAATCAGGAAGATCTTGTTCACCTGCCCCAACATATTTTTCATTAACATTATAGCCATCAATTTCCATTGAACTCCATACTTCAGCTAATACATTTCCTGCAAATTCGAAATTAGATCTTTCTAAATGTTCATCAATTGTAACGCCACGTTCATCCAAATGAGACTCAAAATGGTCATGAGGCAATATTAAACCAGCTAGTTCCCAATTAAAAGGGGCCATTCTGCGCTCTACTCTGTTATACGCACTTCTTCCAGGAGCATTGGTAGCTAAAAACAATGCATGGTCAGTTTTAGCTAATGGTCGAAACTCTTCAAGTTCGAGAAGCGTCTCGAAAGCCTGAGCATGAGTATTAGCAGTAGATGAACTATGCTTTCCACTCCGGATAGCGATGTATGTTGGTCCAGAATATCCAACGGCTTGCGGTTGTCCTAGCATATTGGAAGTGATTTTGATACCAGCATAAACAGATGGTATTAATTTATGATGCTCAGCGATTACCCAATCGTGCTCAGGCAATTTGATTCTATATTCCATGTGCATTAGAAGAGGTGCTTGCTTATTTGAGGCAGATACGCCAATAGGGACTCAAGCTTTTTCATCTTCAGATATGAAAAATACTTGATCTGGTCCAAGTATGGATGCTATGTTCCCTAAATAATGGATTGATGTTTCAGTGAACTTGCTATCTAAGTGGCTCTTGTCTTGATCAGTTTGAGCCCGAATGAGCTTAACAGGGACTGTCGATACATGTCTTCGTCCCTCTGCAGAATTGGATTTTCTGGGAATCAAACGAAGATATGTCCCACTGCGACTAATGTCAAATCCTATTTTACGTAATTCTTGTGTGAATTCATCAAGAGTTTTTACGCTGCGAATTGATTCCGTTCGTCTTCTATCATCTGCTGCACTCCCAAATAAAGCTATATCCGCGATTGTTTTCAATAGTGAATGTTGATTGCTTTCAAGATTAGGACGTCCCACTGAATCCCTCAGAGATAGTATTTTTCTTTTATTTCTGGATTTTCATGACAAATATCTTCTAACTTTCTTTTCATACCATCCCTGTGTTTCTTCTGGGCAACTGCGTTTTAAACCTTCCTGTTTAAAGACTGTTTTGCTGTTTTTATTTCCTCTCGCTACTTAATGATCTGTTTATCAACTTCGGCACGGCTTGGCATAGTATCTCTGGCAGAATACAAAGCATTCAGATTTTTTTCGAGTAGAGCAATCTTATTTTTCATAGCTTCCTGAGAAGGTTTTGCTCTCTGTTTATCTGTATTTTCATTAATTTCGCATTGCTGTTGTGATTCATTACCGGGTTTTATTTTATCTTCTTCCTCTTTCTTAATATTTGAAGCTGACTGTATAATTTGTGTTTTTTCTGCAGGTTTACAGGTTGCCTAAAAATAGAAACTTTCTATGGCTTCTGCTAAAGATTCTCTTATTAAGCTACATAAATACAAAGTATGGCAATATATATGGTAAATACAAAACCCTATGGCTTTAAATTTAATATGTTCAAACGAGCAATTCGTTCCGGTCAAAAAATACAGGGTATTAGTTTTCTGTATATATGTATAAAACTAACAGCCTGTACTTTGTGACCAATTGACGGAACCAATCATAAGAAATAAATCTATAATATAATGAATATTACCTCTATACTTTGAGATAGGCAAAAATATTTTCTAATCAGTAAAGTGAAACTTTTTGGCGATTTCTAATATTTCTAGTACTCATAGGCACCTAAAATGATTTCGTCACTCACCTTAGAAAAAAAATTTAGTAGATTGGATTTATTCTTAGTCACCGCTTGCAATTCTTCTTCGATTCTCTTAGATACAATAATATCTAGTTCCTTGTAAGATTTTGCTTGTAATTTGTAATTTCGCCACACTTCGTTAACTAACTTTTATACATTTTGTACTTTCGTACTTGTATGAGATTTTTTAAAACATTCAAACAATTTTTGGTATAACTTGGATTTGTCTATGTGAAACGACATCTTATTTAAACATTAAACTTTGGCTAATGGAATCAAGGGTAACACCAATGTTAACTTGCTTTACTATGCTTACAAGACGGCTACTCGCTATAGTATCCAAACTGATAGAGGAAATTTAGACAAGTGAACACCGCGCGGTAATTCCCTTACTCGGTTCTAAAGCGAGTAGGGGAATTACCGCGCGCTGTTCACTAAACGTATGCATTATTTGCGGGAATCCCCGAAAATGCGTTTTGTTTTCAAGCAAAGACAATATGAGGGTTGCCATTCGTGTAAAAAGTAGAAAATTACCTATGACGTAATCATCATCTAGACTCATCTAAAATAAGCAAAGCAAAGGCCGCCCCGCGCCCCCCCCCCATAGTGCTAACGTAATACTTGAAGGGCCCCATAGGAACAAAAACAGTAATATTCCTGTTACAATGAATTACATTTCTGAATGACCACACTTCGGAAAATCTAATAAATAACAAAGTACTACAGAATATGGACGGAACACCTTTGTTTAAAAACGTGGGTATTATTATATGACGTACTTACCTGAGGTGGAAGTTTAACGGTAGCCGCTTCCAAAGACTGAGCGTGCCGAATGGCCGCTACAGGTATCGAGCTGCTGGGCATGGCTGGTTTAGGGGGAGCCGGGGCTGGGGCAGCTGGTTTCGGAGGCGGAGGTGGCGCAGCAGCTGACAAACAAACATTTTGATATTTCTTGTGTTACATTCGTTTTGTGAAGTTTTACGGCTCTCCAGTACATCCGTATATTCCTATATAAAACATGCAACCGTAGTGCTTGCATAACTCATTTGTTTTTCGAGATATCAACAAGAAATTTGCACACATGAAACTGAAATGCTTGATGAAAAGAATCGCTATCAGATTCTTTCAAAAAGCTTTTATTGAAAAAATAAGTTTAATTCAAATTTGTAAATTTTGTAGCTTCTGTGGATTAATAATGAACTATTGGAAAAACAAGGAAAACATAGCCTCTAAAGCACTCATTTCATCGAATCTGCTTTAATATCTAAACAGATGTAATGATACATTTTACGCTATTAGGCATATGAATTTGAATTATTAAGGTGCAAAATTAATTTTTTTCATGACTAAAAAGAAATAAGTTCAGTACCCTTTTGTGCTCCGAAACGGTTGATTTTCGGACATAGGTTATAATGAACTTTTTGCTTGGAATAATGCAAGGAATCGCCTCTTAAAGTTACGAATATTATTTCCCCAACACCCTGTATGCATGTACAATTACCACAGTGTTTTGACGTAGCTTGTAGTCATCACTAGCTACACAACGCTACTTTTTTTGTAAAACTATATGTATACTATCCTAGAGTGTGTATCAACGTTTCCTATGCCATGTATTTGGTCGATTGAAATGAATATTATCATTATATACTTTCTATTTGGTCATACCTTGCGGTGTCGGTGGTGGAGGCGGCGGTGGTGGAGCAGCGGCAGGCTCAGGCTTCGGTGGCGGGGGGGCGGCGGCTGCAGCCGGTTTCGGGGGCGGCGCCTCGCCGGTTACCTTCAGCTTGAACAGGTCCTGACCGGGCTTCACTGTATCGCCGTCTTTCACCAAGAACTCCTCGATGATACCGGCCGCTGGACAATGGACCGGCATCGATGTCTTGTCCGTTTCGATCTCCATCACTACTTCGTCTTGGCCTATGTGGTCGCCTACCTTTTTCTCGATCCTAATTAAATTAACATAAATCCTGTGTGAATATGGTACAGCTTTTAACCTGAAGGTAGTTTATCCATTTTTCGAATTATTTAATCCATCTATGCAGGTTAGGGATTTATTTTTGAAAAACCGGATCAAGTGGCGTCAAGTAAGTTGACTCTATACTTCTTAGGACTTCTTTGTTGCAGGTTTCAAAGAAAAGCGATGAGTCAAATCTTTACTACGATACTTTGTAGCATCCTACCATATTTTACAGCTACTTAGCTCTACTTTCACACGAAAGTCAATGCAATAAAAACTTTAATTAGAAAATACCTTATGTTTCATACTTGCCGGGTAGTAATCTCATTATGACGATTTATGATACAATAATTAATCCTTATTTTCAGTATTGCTCGTCTTTATAACTATTATTAATATGCACAGTACAAAAATTATGAAATAGGAGAAAGCATCTATTATTTGTTCAACAAGATGGTACGTAGTGCAATCCCATTAATGTCAGATCCATTTTTTGAGTTTTAATGTGTTCAGTTGAGCGAAGCTGTCACAAGTGGAGGACACACTTATTTTTCTCTTATGCTGCAGCCCAACTGCAGCAGTTTCGCTTATTAACGCAACCGGCGGAATAAAAAAGAACATTAAAAACCGTCAATCTTAAAACAAAAACATCATCAATCCTTGTTCACGCTTCTGGCGACATTACAATGCTAACATTCTAACATTAATCTCCTAGAGGTGTGAAGGTTGTGGAGTTGTATGTAATTATGAAAACAAATACCAATAACCATTCACGAACTGCATATCATAAATATGGCTGGTTGCAATTTGGTACAAATCTTCTATGTACCAACGTGCGTTTTCTGATGTACAAACAATTTTATTGTTTCAGTATTTCTGAGAAAATATGATCATTTGATTTTCTTTCATCCGACACATGGTTTTCGCTAAAAAAAGGCCAAACCGCTAAACATCTTATGAGGTCACTGCTGGTCAGAAATCGTTTGAGCATCGTCTACAAGATAACAGAGTGATCAAACTAGTTAAAAAATGAATGAGAATTCAAAAAAATAGTTTTTTATCGAATGTGTACCGTTCTCGATTGAAAGAATTAAATTAAATTACTTCACACAGCACAGCAGTTTTTAGCGATATGACTCTGAAGTCAAACGATTTTTAGCTTTTTGAGGGAAAACCATGATTCAGATGGAAGAAAATCAAGAGATCAATGTTGCTCAGCAACGACTGAAGATTTCAAAAATGGTTTTTATTTAAAGGGAACGCAGTGGGCACAATTTTTTTCTCTGAAAATATTCAATGTAAAACTCGAACGGATTCCACTGGTAGAAATAAAAAAATCGTTTGTACATCAGAAAACGCACTTTGATGCATAGAAGATATGTACCAAATTTCATGAAGACATCTGCAATAGTATCACAGTTATTATAAAATACCTTTTTTTTCTGAAAACTTATCTGCTCTGTATCTCAGAAGTTAAGATGGTCAATATGTTCATAGGATTTTTTTCTCAAAATGGGTCCAAGAATCAACTAAATTATTAGCATGTCATTAAGGAACACCCTTCAGATTCAGTGTCAGATTAAGAGCCAGACCAGACCTGTAGTAAATTATACCAAGGGACTAGGGGTGGACACAGAGATAAATTTTGTGCTTAGCCCAGGAGAGATACTTTCACAGAACGTTAGTGAGTGGATGCCAAAAATGCGCTGTCCGTAACATTTGATACAGGGTTTGTCCGGAAAGTAATAGGACTAATTTTCTTCCGCCATTACTGTACTTTTGGAGAGTGCGCGCACCAACTGGATTCGGTAGAGGGCGTTCCTAGCTAACGAATGAGCGGCTGGTCAGTTGTCTCCGAGCACTTGTAGAGGCAGGACAGGCATTTTCGCGCGACGTGTTTCTGTGTGTGGTGCAAGCCGAAAATGCAGCGTTCGTGAGAGCAGCGGTACGCGATTAAATTCTGTATGAAACTCGGTAAATCTGCGACAGAGACGTTTGATATAATCAAGCAGGCTTACCCAGGTGTTGCTTTAGCAAGAAGTGGTGTGTTTCGGTGGCACCAGGCCTTTTTGGAGGGCCGGGAAGAGGTCGCTGATGAAGACCGTGCTGGAAGACCTTTGACTTCGACAAACCCCGATAATGTGACTAGGGTGCGCGAAGTTTTGAACTCAGACCGTCGACTAAGCATTCGTTTAATTGCCCAGATGTTAAATATACCAAAATCTGTGGTTCATGACATTGTGACACAGCATTTGAACATGCACAAGGTGTGCGCGAAGATGGTCCCAAAAGTGCTCACTGACGACCAGAAATTGCGGCGAGTGGAAGTGTGCCAAGAAAATTTGAACATGTGTGAAAGTGACCCCCAATATTTGAATAACGTAATCACAGATGACGAGTCGTGGATCTTTGAGTATGATCCCGAGACAAAGAGGCAATCTTCCGAGTGGCACACGACGGCGTCTCCTCGCCCAAAAAAGGGTAGAATGAGCAAATCCAAAGTGAAAACGATGCTCATTGTCTTTTTTGACATCAAAGGCATCGTCCACCATGAATTTGTTCCTCCTGGACAAACCTTCAACGCCAAGTTTTACGTGGAAGTGCTCAGGAGACTCAAACGAAGGGTCAGTCGGGTCCGCCCTACAGCCCAGATGTGCCTCCCCCCCCGGATTTTTTTTTGTTTCCTCGCGTGAAAAGGCAGATGAAAGGCAAGCATTTTGAGACGACAGAGAAGATCCAAGCAGCATGCACCGCGGCTCTTAAGGCTATTCCGGCGAATGCCGTCCGTGATGCCTTCAATGCTTGGAAATCGCGCTGGCAGCGCTGCATCGTCGCAGAAAGAGCCTATTTTGAAAGTTTTTAAAGAATTGTAACGATTGGCTCAATACATTTTTTTAATCGACTCAGTCCTATTACTTTCCGGACAAACCCTGTACTCTTATTAATCTGCTACTAATTAGATGATAGCATATTACACTTTCCAAGTTATTCCTCATTTTACATAATTTTTGCGATAAAATAAAAGGTCAATTTTTATCTTTTACACAAGATTCCTTGAAAAAGTATATCAGTACATCAATTAAAAATCATGAGAAAGTTATATAATTGATACTGAATAGTTTTTGAGAGCTATTAGCATAATTTTTATTTTCGCGTCATTTGTTTATTTAATGGCCTCCACTTTATTAAATAGCACATTAACAAAACAGTAATGGAGTAAAAAGCACATTTTACAGATTTATTTATGACCATGTAATGCAGTATGTGAGCATTGTTCTAATTTGAATGTCAACAAGCTGCTTTATATAGCCTGCTAACTCGTTTGTGTGGCCTTAAATGTTTCAATATTTTTCATTAATTTATTGTCGCAAAAAATTTTCGAAAAAATTATGTTGATGTCAAAAAAATTTACGTTTGAAGAGACATCAAGGTAAAATTGAAGAAATGATATTTTTAAATGAATCATGTGCCTAACAGTATAAAATTATGTCAGCAATCCTTATATGTCTTAATCTATCTTGTTGAATTCAAATCATGCTATGAAATTTTAAAACAAATACTCAGCAATCATTTATTTTATGTATGATATATTTTAAAAATATTCATGCCCAGTTTGACACTTTTGATTTAGGGAATAGTTGTGGGAAAACCGTGTCCTAATTTTCAGAAAATTTGAGTTAGTGTGCACAGTTAGGACAGCAAAACCATGTCCCAGTTCTTCTGTCTTCCATAACAGAGCACATGCACTTATCGATAAAATATTAAGTTGAACTATGTTTAAAACTTCTTTTATTGTTTGTGGTCTATTGCCTATTTATTTTACAAAAATGTCACACTTACTTGTTTGTTGTGAAATAATACTGTTTTCTATAATAAGTACTATAATAAGTAATCTAAGTGGAATGAAATATATGTTTTACAGAAAACAAATTAAACAGGGGAAACATTTGAAAAGGAATTTGATTGTAATACATTAACTGATTCGAGTACATGATTTTCAATCCTTATTTTGTTTGTGATAGAACATTCTTTTTCTATAAACTGCAAGAATAAAAATAACTATGAAGTTATTTTACTAACATATACCAAATGATCTGTGAAATGTACCTTGAGTTAAAGCAGGTACTGAGAGAAAGTAGAACAGCTATATGGATAAATCTATATCTTATGTAACTTCAATGCAATAACAATTTCATAGAAATTTCTAAATAAAATTACTTTACATATGTAACTGGTTACTACAGGGCATACATCTTTTAGTTATATATATATATATAGTTTTTTGAGTTTACTGTAAGGTTACGTCTCTGTTACCATTTATATTAAGCAGTTCATGAAATTTGATGAATAGTAATAAAACATACAGATATCTGATTATTCTAGAAAATATTGATTGCATTTATACTAAATTATCAAAATTAGTATGAATTCCTTATGTAGGTATCTAGGTGTAGGGTAGTATATGATGTACACTTATTCAAAAATCATGTGATATATCTGATTTTCTACATACCTAACATCTCCTTCTGTAACAGATTCTGCAAAGGGAGGCACCTTGACCACCATACTCTCAAGGCAGGCACTGGTTGTTCGAAAATATCTATCAGTCCGCACACTGATTGTTTCATGAGTCCTACAACATAACCTTCATTATACTACAATTTATAATGATCATATAATTGCTTTACCTTGCTGATACTCCATGATTTGATTTAATACTGTACTTGCGAACTATTTTGGTACCATGATAGACAGTCCTTTGCCTCAATGGCACCTGTAAAATAGTGATTATGTAATCTTGAGAGCAGCTAAGAATTTTGCTGTTTTAGAGCTCAACAAGTGAGTCTTTTTCTAGATAAACGGATTAAGCATAACTCAAGACATCAATTTATAAGAAAAAAAAGATTTCACTTACTTCAAGTGCTGCTTTTTCCACATAACTACTTAAATTTCGTATGGCTATTCGCGGCACATTTCGTATCACTAATGTTAGCATAGACATTTCTGATGAGATACGCGGAGTAATAAGTTATAAAAAAATTTCAACGCCCAATCATATGCTGCAAACTGTAGGCAAAGCTGCCCAGCCAAAAAGCTCTATAATTTCTAATCACAAACAGCCACGACAAATCATTCGGTACTAGGTCAGCATGACAAATTGTCAAATTTTTGAAAAGGTTGAAGTTGAAAACTTGATTGTCAAAATGGAATATGTCATTATATAGCGATCTGTTGGCAGATAGCTTAACTTTCCCTCAATGTAGTTTTCTTTTACAGTCCTTGCTTTCCCATCTGTTATTTAATTACCGCACTGAACATGGTAGCTTTATTTTTTTTTTAAAAGAAATCTGTATCACTCATTCGTGACATCTAGTGCTAGCTAGCGCAAGGACGTATACTCGATTCGAAAAACAATAGGTGTCCTATCGGACATCTATTAACGGACAATCTAACTAAGGCATATTTTCTTTCATAGAAAAGAATCTGATTATTTACCTGCGATTTCCTAGTTACTAGAAACGGTAGTAGATGTCCGCCTTCCATCAACCAGTGGCGTAGTTGGCATAACTTTTCTGGAATTCTTACATCCATCCCCAATTATTGTCGGGCACTTTATATTTGCCTAAATGGCAGGAAAAAGGAAACAAAAGCAAACTTTTAGTATTAGTCAAAACAAAAAAGCTACATCTTCTAAGGTAATAGAACAACTTTTATAAAACTCTTTTATTCTATATCTACAGGGTGTCCCGAAAAAAGTGTGCAATATTCTACCAGCGGTTTCTAGAGCTTAAAATAGGAAGAAAGGTTTATATAAACATAGGTCGACAAACGTCCCCTAAGGGCGCTACGGTCTTTTAAAGGGGCTCCCCTGAAGATGGTTTTTCCTTAATATTTCCGAAACGTGTTGAAATAAAGACATAAAATTTGGTATTCTAGCCTAGTTTCTTATGCTGGAGTTAAAAATATTAACAATTTTAGACAGTTTTGCTTGGAAGCCTATGTAACAGGGACGGACTCAGGTTATTTTAGCCCCAAAATTTTTGTGTGATTCTATTTTTGAAATTCAATTTTAGAATTTGAAAATTTAGGGTTTTCTACATAAAAAAGGTACTCTTATTGAATATCGATAAATGGTGCCATTTTTGAATAAAATCAAACTAAAAAAATTGCCACATGATAGGAAATGTACTGCGAATTTAAATGAATTATTGATTACACGTAGTTAGCCATGACTGCAAACAAAAGTTGTTTTGATTTGTTATGACTTAGGAACTTGAGGAACACCAGTACTATATGTCCGAGGACTAGATGTTATTCGTTTCCCAGTTTTGTTCAAAATTACATTCTATCCTCTATTACAGAGATAAGATTTAAGCCAGTAGTACGCATTCCCGCGTATACCATATTTATATAATTTGTTCAGCAATATTTCGTGATCAATGCAATCAAATGCTTTTGATAGGTCCACAAGCTGCTCCTTGATTCTCTGGACATTCATGGAAGGCTGTTGTGAAATCGAACAGTGATGTGTTCACACCTCTACCTTTCATGAAGCCATGTTGGTTATTTGTGAAGTATTTATTTGATTGGAAAAATTTATAAGACGGTTGTTATAAGCAACTACAAAAATTTTTGAAAAATTTATCAACAAGCTAATAGCACCGTAGTTGTCCATATCATCAGGATCGCCTTTTTTTATATATAGTGCCATTTTTAATGCCTCTGGGAATTCCCCTTCACTAAGAGATGTATTTAGGATGTTAAGAAGAGGGTCAGATATTATGGTTATCATTTTTTTAATGATGGAAATTGGATCGCTGTCATCACCACAACTTCTTGTGTTTTTTAGGTTGCATACAATTCTGAGCAATTCATCATTATCGATTGGAGTTAAAAATATTGTTTTATTTTTTAGTTCTAGGTTGCAGTCATAATTCAAATTTGGTAGTTGTGAGAGGAGTTTTGGAACAGCTTCGACAAAGCTTTTATTGAAATGGTTGGGTAAAGCATTTACGTCATTATATACCGGTAAGACCAACTGATCTAAGGCCTTTTTTTGTGTGTTAGTTAATTCTCGCACTATATTCCAAATTCCTTTACTTCTATTGCCATGATTATTTACCTTGTTTAAATAGTATTGCGAATCTTTTAAGAGTTTCTCATATGTCTGATTTTAACTTTTAAAGACATCTTTATATTTTATGTAGTTTTGGGAAACCATTTGAAGAGCATTCACCCTGTTCCTGAGTCGATCCAATTCCGGGGTAATCCAAGGAGGTTTCTTACTTTCCGCAGCTCGTTTTTTATCTTCAGAGGAAAATAGTAATTGAAACTGCTTTGAATTATCTGAGAAAATATGTCCCACTTTTTGTTTACGTTGACACTACTATAATTTTCATTCCATTATGCTGACTTTAGATCTTGTAGAAAACTACTTATATGTGAGTTAGAAAACACTCTAATCAATTTTGATTCATGATCGATATTGGTATTGAGTGAAAAGAAGGTATGGTCAGAAAAAAGTGTATCATTAATTTTAGACTGAAACTTCACATCTGTGTTAATGAAAATATTGTCCAAACATGATTTGGAGTCATTCTTTACTCTAGTGAAATCGGTAATAGTTGCTTTCAAACCGTAGGAATGAATTATGTCAATAAAGTCTGATGATTTCCTATTTGTCACCAACAGATTTATATTAAAATCGCCGGCTATGACACATTTCTTTTTTTCATTAGTGATTTTATCTAGAATTATTTGAGGTTTCTCAAAAAACGCGTCGATTCGTCCGTCACATGGACAATATATACAGGGTGACTTTGAAGTTGAGTCATTAATTTTCAGATAATGATTGTAGAAGGAAGATAAACCAAAATATGTGTGTAAAAATAAAAAAAAAATAAAAAAAAAATTTTACCTTGTTTTATAAAGTATCCTCCCGACAAGTATTTCAGTGCGGACCTGTATTTGATCGTGAGGTCTTGGAGCACCGGCATGCCGTCCATATGTGAGGTCTTAAGTCAAATGATTCACGAACCCGTTGTACAACATTAACAAAGGCACGAGGGGTTGGTTGCACTCGATTGGGAAACCGATCCGCATAAACATGTGCCATTTTTTATTTCGTTTGAGCCACGCAACAGACACCACTATCCACTACCGACTGACACTGACTGTATACAACTGAATGAAATAATTGTAAAAACATCGTTCCAAATTCTTTCGCTTTTTTGTTTCCGATGCGATGAACCGATAAGGCGAATTATATCCGTTGTCGCCAAACACGAGCACATAATATTATTATTGAGACAGGGCGGTACTCAAACTTCCAAAGGGCTATAACTTTGTTACTTTAATTTTACCAGAAAAATGGTAAAGGAAAAAAACATTTCTTTTGATCAGATTTACTCACTGTTAAAATAAATGACTCAACTTCGAAGTCACCCTGTAGAAACGACGACTAAGACGAGCTCTTTCAAGGTTATTTCAAGGGTTGCACATTCAAACACACCGCACTGCGAGATGTTGTTGAGATCTTCACGCACTTTCGCTCTTCCTTGAAGTATATCCTGGTTGCAGTACATAGCACACCCCCCATGATGACCTCGTTCACGGCAGAAGAATGAGATGAGCTCAACATTTTAAATCTTGTTAGCTTGAATTTGCTGATGATCTTGCCAGTGCTCTGTGAAACATAGAAAATGGCACGGATCGTGGTTATTTATGTTATGTTTCAGCTCGCTTACGCAATTTCCCAACGATTGAAGGTTGTTGGTTTATTCTCTATTGAGTTAAAGTTGCATAGGTGCGTCTCCGAAAATTTATGATTCGATTTTTCTCATAAGGCTGATTATTGTGTTTTTAGGCCAAACACTGGAGGCAGTGACCCTTGCAGTTTCAGATCTAGGGACAACTACCTGGAAAGCCGCAATATTCTCGGACTTTTTTCGGTATTATTTCTAAAGTGTTGATTCGTTGTGCTACTAAGTCTTTTTTATCTGTTTGTCAGTTACTTCTGGTGACAGTCGAGATATGAACACTGATGTTCTTCCCTTCACGGCAGCTATGTCAGAGATCTCAGCACTGCCAATGACAGTTTGTTTGTTTTCCTTACGAGTTTTTCGCTGCACTGTTTGGAAATCATCTTGATCATGTAATGCATTATTCTGATTCTCCCAATGTTTGTTATCATTTTTTTGCTGGTTGACGCTGATAGTACTGATAACCGGAGAATATAGGGTGTAAATCCAAGAACACAATAAATATGTTTGGCTCACTTGGGTGGACAGGTTTCGACTACACTGAAGGTATTAGTGGTTTTTATTACACTATCTGTATAATGATAGATGTGTTTGTATTTGAAACAATGACATGACATTGGCATTGTCACAAGTATAGTCTTTATAAGTTGCATCATCATAAAAAAGTAGAATGACAAACCTCCAGTGGGAGCATCAATGCAGACTAAAGCATAAAAAAGGGCCAGTCATCAATCATTTCGTTGATTCGGGAGTGTTGATACCTTTGAGAAGGACTTTAAAATTAAGCATGATGTTGAACGAAAATCATCCTTTTTGTGAAGGAAAATACAAATCTTGGAAAGATCGCAGAAGTGAACAGATAAGGCAGTTGGTAAAACATCCGACTACTGTACATCCATTTAGGTAGGTTTCTGAACTCAATGCAAAACACTTCAAAAAAGAAGCAAGTTTATTTTGGAAAAGATGTCAGAAACATAATTTGATTCCAATATATCAGAACCGAGAGAGAGAATAAACAAATTCATAACTAGTGCCAAATGTACTCAAAAAATGCGAAAACCCACCCAGAACTGTTTGGCGTTTTAGGGACGATGGGCGAGGGTGACGTGTCTGGTACATTCAAAAAACAACAGTTAAAGTCATGCTCGCTTGTCGCTTTGGAGGTTGCACCTCCTGGGAGCCTACCCCATTCAATCCTGGGCTTTGCTGGTTTTACATGGTGTCATCTTAACTTTGAAGTGATGGCTTCGATCTCCGTATGCTACATGACCGCTTATGCTGTTTTTTTTTATATATTCCAACTACCACGAAGGCCTAAGGCCTAAACACCCATTGGGTACCGTGGGGCTATAGGGGGATACAGGGGAAAGGGGGAACGCCACACGGACTCTGGCGAGGGAACACGTGTGCATGCAACATGCACACATTCTGGCTCCGCCTACGAGATCCGCCGGGTGGTACCTCCACGTTCGACAGTCAGAGACCGTCGACCACCTAAGGACAATCACAACATCCATAGCCCAGAGAAAAATTTCTCCTGGGACGGGACTCGAACCCGCACAGCGCACGGCGAGTGATCAGGAGACCGAAGAGTCTACTACTGCGGCCACCGTTTTGCCTGAGGTCGCTCTAACAAAAAAAATATTTAAGGGTGTGAATTTACATGAAAAATTAATGTTAGTTCGTTCTATAAACTATGGTCCAAAAATGTTTCCTTACAAAAACTGGGGGTGTTGAATTTTAGGAAAAAATGGAAATTAATTAATATTTTCAGAACCGCTTCAGATATTTTACTGATATTTAGTACATAGTGAAAGTTAATAAAGTTACATATTTTTCAATGCATAAATAATTTTTAGCTTCAACAGTGGCGTGCGTACGGATATTGACTTCGACATTTAAAAAAAATGGTACGCCAACGGTTTTTTGGCAAATAAAAGTTATTTTTGAATTTCCCGTTCAATTTAAAACAAATGCTCTCGAATTGTTTTCCTTTCTAAGTAAAAAAAAATAAAAACCGTTCTATTGTCTAACTTGCAAAATTATTATTAATTTAATTGGAAAAATTAAACACATTAGGGGTAATGAACAACAACAACTGACAACATAAACATAACATTGAAACCAACGAACTGATTACCAAATTTGTTGAAAATGGCCCCCTTCACTTAGCATGCATGCTTCCGCCCTCCTTCTCATGGAATCGCGCACTCGTTGAAATATTCCTGGAGTGTTTTTTATTCTATCACAAGCTGCAAGTATTCTTTCTCTTAATTTCTCTACAGCTCTACAGTGTTAATGGGACTTGTGTACACTAGTGTCTTAAGATAGCCCCACAAAAAGAAATCTAAACTGTTGAGGTCTGGGGACCTTGGTGGCCATTCTTGGGGCCCACCGCGGTCAATCCAATGATTTGGATAAACGTTTGTAAATAATTACGAACCGCTACACTGAAATGCGCTGGTGCTCTATCATGCATGTACAACATGTTGTTTCTTATTACTAACGGAACATCATCGAGCAGCAAAGGAAACTGTTGTTGAAGAAAATTGAGGTAAGTCTGTCCGTCAAGTTGTCTTGACAAGAGGAATGGGCCAATAAAGTGGTTTCCAATAATTCCTGCCCATACGTTGACCGAAAATTGGTGTTGGAAATGGGTTTCGGTTACGGCATAGTGATTTTCTTCTGCCCACAAATGATTATTGTGGAAATTCTGAATGGCATTTTGAGAAAAAGATACCACTGACAAAAGGTCACACGCCTTGGAAAACTAATGGGAAGTAATGCCTGTACTCTTAAAATATGGTAAGGATATAACACAAAATCCACTAAAATTCTGCAAACAATTTGATGGCAATGACACTTAGTCTAGCGATCTTCCTCGTACTCGTTTCAGGATGTTCTTCGACTTCGTGCAGCGCTGCTTCCTCAATTTCAGGTGCTCTGACACTTAGAGGTCTACCTTCAGATGTTCCTTTTCGGACAGAACCAGTTTCAACAAAACGACGATGAACATTAGAAAAGGTTCAATTATCTGGCAAAGTACGATGGATATCTCTGGTGATAAATCCATCTGGCTTGCTTACCATTACCATCGGCAAGGCCTTATACGTAATGCATTTCCGCCATTTCTGCATTTGAATAATTCACCATTATTAACAAGATTGTAAAATCTAAATAATGAAAAAGATGCCACAGCCAACAGATTTGTATAACAGAGACTTGTCAGATGTCAAAAGCCAGAGACATATTCCAGAGCAACTAGAGATTTATTGCTAAATTGCATTCTACAATTATTACATTAATTTTCTCGGATAATAGAACGGTTTTTATTTTTTACTCAAAAATGGGGCATCGAAAAACAATATTCAAGAGACATTATTTGTTTTGAATTAAACTGGGTAATAAAAAAATTTTTAATTGGCAAAAAACCATTGCTTACCATTTTTTTCTTAAAAAATATCGAAGTCAATACCCGTACGTACGCCACTGTTAAAACTAAAAATTATTTTTGCATTGAAAAATATGCAGCTTTATCAACTTTCACTACGTACTAAATATCAGTGAAATATCTGAAGCGGTTCTGGAAATATTAATTTCCATTTTTTTTAAGCAAACTAACATTAATTTTTCATGTAGATTCACACCCTTAAATATTCGCATATCATTAAGGAACACCCTCTATAATACCCACGAACTATGAAGCTACACCTAGCCAAATGTTTTATTTGATTATATGTCTCTTTTCAAGTTCTTTTCAGATGTACTGGGAGTATATGATGTGCTTGATGTACTTTTTCTCCTATATGATTTTGTGTATCAATTCGGCATATAGTTGGCGCACTGTACATAGAGCTCCATCGTAAGTATTAGCGAGTTTTGGTAATAATAAATACTAGATACGTAATCTTTAACATTCGCATTAGACGCAGTATTGTTTCTTAAATGTATTAGTGCTTACAATGCCTTTACTTTTAATCAGAAATTTAGTCGGCACCTCCACCATATTTTAGCGCGTAGGACACCATTTTTCATAGTCGAATATTACACCTTTAGTACTTACAACTGTAACCTGTCAAAATTTAAGACAAGGACTTTTTCATCAAAACACACATTTCAGGATGAGTCATGGTCACACGTGCTATACCGAGTAGTAGTAGTAGTAGTAGTAGTTTTATTATCTTTTGATCATATATGCATGATATGTGAAGAAATACAGGAGTAATTACATAAAATACATATCTTACAACACTGCAAAATTCAACTATTTGCTGACGATACATTAATATATATATATATATATATATATATATATATATATATATATATATGTATATACAGGGTTATCCAAATTAAGTGTCCACCATTGGTAACTTTGTTATTAGTAAAAATACAAAGTTGTTTAAATTAGCAAACTAGTAGCATTTTTAACGCTGGTAAAAATGAGAAATAAAAAAAAACAATTGAGAGTCGTTATTTTGATTTTTTTCAGTAAAATAACATTTTTTTAAATGGAAACCCCTGTATATTATATTTTTTTCTGTTAAAGCATCAAATTTTAAACAAAAAAGTTCATAATGACTTTTCCGCTAAAGTCAAAAATAAAGTCAAAATAACGATAAATATTTTTAATTACATATTTGCAGTATTATAATATTAAGACGGCTATGAAAACAACATGGAGTTCGCGATTTGACAGCATTAAGATAAGCGACAAATTGTTAAACTGGACATACTCGCAACTAGAAGGCTTTGGAAAACAATGATAAAATCAAATAATGTCAAACATTAGTGTAAATACTTGTTTATAAGCTTTATTGTGTCATTAATTTAAAGAAAAATGTTCTCCCATGAAGAAAAGTGTGATATGTTAGAATGCTATTTAGTGTGCAGAAAATCCTCCTTGAGAGCAATCAACCGTATGAACGATATTTTCTGAGACTTTATCGAAAATTTAGGGGCAACGAAAATGTTTTTGCTAAAACAAGGGCAAAAAAAGAATTCATAATAAGCGAGGCCACGGAAATTGCAGTTCTTGGATATTTTGAAGCTTATCGTGAGAATTCAATAGCAGATATTCTCAAGGACTCTAATTTCAGTTATGGTACTGTTCAAAGGATTTTAAAAAAATACAAATTTATTCCGTATAAGTACCGACCAGTTCAAACGCTTTTGGCATGGGATCCAGAGAGAAGACTTGTTTTTTGCCATTGGTATCTTAGCTTCTGTCGCCAAAATGTAAATAACTTTCGTTACCTTTTATGGACAGATGAATCAAATTTTTCAAATTCTGGAATGTTTAATAGAAAAAACCACCATTATTGGTCAAGAGAAAATCTTTTGTTAGTACATCCAAGAGGCCCACAAGTCCGTTTCAGTTTCAACGTTTGGTGCGGTATAATTGGTTCAAAAATTGTTGGCCCGTTCTTTTATGAGGGAACCCTAACTGGTGAAAGATATGTGGAATTTATGTCAGAAATTCTGACTAATTTCTTAGACGAATTGGATCTTATAAGTAGACATCATCTGCATTTTCAGCAAGATGGCGCACCTGCCCACAACTCCAGAGGTACTTATCATTTTCTAAGTACTACTTTTAATGATCAGTGGATAGGAACAAATGGCCCAATACAGTGGCCTCCCAGATCACCAGATCTAAACCCACTTGATTACTTCTTGTGGGGTTACTTAAAGAACCAAATTTACAAGCGAAGGTACGATAACCTTGACGCGTTAAAGACTGCAGTTAGGGTAAAGATAACCCAGATAGATGGTAGGACCATACTTAAGACAGTTCGAGCAGTTGAAAAACGTGCCCAAAAATGTATTGAAGAACAAGGTGGTGTTTTCGAGCATCTTCTTTAAAAAAAATTGTTATTGTATTTTGTAAGATTATAAGTTGATGTTGAAAATAAAGTTTGTCGATACAATTTAATTGTTTCAGATTGGAGGCCATAACTTCAACAATTTGTAACCTAGGAGAAAAGTTATTGTAAGCTTTTTTGTTTAAAATTTGATGCTTTAACAGAAAAAAATATAATATACAGGGGTTTCCATTTAAAAAAATGTTATTTTACTGAAAAAAATCAAAATAACGACTCTCAATTGTTTTTTTTTATTTCCCATTTTTACCAGCGTTAAAAATGCTACTAGTTTGCTAATTCAAACAACTTTGTATTTTCACTAATAACAAAGTTACTAATGGTGGACACTTAATTTGGATAACCCTGTATATATATATATATATATCTCAGATAAATACATTGAAACTGCAATACAGCTGTTAAATAATGATATGAAAAACGTAATAAATTGGTTATATGTAAATAAACTTAAACTAACCACAAACAAAATAAAATATATGCTAATAGGAAAATCCTTAGATCAAAATACGATGAATCTTACAATTAATCATGAAAAACTTGTGTCAATCGAATCATTTAAATATTTGGGCATATACGTAGACAGTAAAAATATCACAGAAAAAATTACTTTTATAGAATTTCGGATATCCTTAGCGTTTATTCTGAAAAAATTGTGTACAACACTACCATTCTTCCTCATTTGTTATATTGTTCGACTATTTAGTTCACTCCAAATGAAACTGTATTTTCAAAATTACAAATATTACAAAATAAAGCTATGAGACTCATCTTAAATAAAAATAAATATACTAGAATAGATTTTATGCTGAAAGAACTACGATGGTTAACTATCAAAAATGTCTAGCCTACTTGGTTTTTATTTTCATATTCAAGTTAAAAAATCATCTTCTACCAAATCACCTAGAAAATTTTACTGTATTGTGCAATGAGTGCCACAATTATTCTACTAGAGTAAGTATAGACTTTCAATTACAAAACTGCAGAAGCAATATAACGAGCAAGCCAGTATTTCAAAAGGGATTGTACAAATTTAATAAATTAAGTAATGATATCAAGATGTGTGTCAGTTTGAAAATGTTCAGAGGGAAATTGAAAAAATATCTCATGGAAAACCAGAATTCATAGTAGTGAAATTTTGAATAAAAATATGTAGTCTTGAAGACATAATATATTTTGTGATATACTGTGTAATATGAATATTATAAACATTGTAGCATTAATGCTATATAAATCTGAAACAACAACAAAATATAAACATAGGGAACTAACAATAAGGACAATCATCTAAAAATAAAGAATACCTGACAAAAATGTTCATACTAAAGAATGAATGACTTAGAATCATAAAAAGTCATATTGAGTAGGGACACTGCTCCACAAGATACTTCTTCAGACGTTTTTTAAGTAGTATAACCCTCTGTAGCTTATATACTTTTATACAGACATTCTCAGGTAATTTTTTGAATATTGTTAATGCATGTGGTGGTATGCTCAAATCCATGCCAGCTCTTGTGTAGAAAGGAACATTTAGATCTTTATTTTTAACAAACCTACATTTGTTGAGAAATACATATGGAGCACAGTTAAAGATGTAGACTACCGGAAGCGTTAGCAGATGATGACTCACCCCTAGATATGTTAAAAATTAATCTCACAATTCTTTTTTTGGATAATGAATGCTTTGTACACTATACGGGTTTGCCCCAATATTTTAATTCCTAGCTATGGAAAGCAATTTTGCAATTCGCTCGAAAAATATAAACAAAAAGCAAAGATCTTTGAGGAACCATAATGTAAAAACTAATTACCCTGAAGTACTCTAGACTTTTGTGCATGGTCCTCATGGTTCGTAAGTCAGATTTATTATGATTCCTACCAGTACGTTTGCGTTGAGTAGATCAACTCTACATTCCAGGCACTTGCAGTCCCATATTTTTCCTCCACGTGTGACCATGTCTCGAGGGTAGTAGTTCTTGTACTAATGACATACTCTACGTTTCCGATAATATCTTGTAGACGTTATCACTTTCCTAATTGATAGTAAATACATGTGGCTATGGTTGTCCGCGAATAATCACTGCTATTACATGAATTTAATATATGCTTAAAAAACTTTGTGACTCACTGATGAACCACACTAACTGTTGATCATGTGACATACGCCCAAGAAGGGTGGAGTTTTTGACAGTATCAAATCGTTACACTCTTTACGATGAACTTATAGTACCATGAATGACCCAAATCTTTCACTCCAACAGACTGCTGATCTTGATATCAATTTGTGACATAATTGTGATGGCTGACATAGCGAAGCAGTTCGTGACTGGTTACTATAACAACGAGACACACCGTTCTATACTCAGGTTGAGTTCGATCGCTAAGAAATATATTTCAACATATTTTGTGTTTGATGTGCTGACTTGTGCTGAAACATTTCTGCGACCTTTCGCGTTAGTTGATTCGTTGAGCAGAAATCAGGGTTTTGCAAGATTTTACAGATACAGCAGGATTTTCACAGGTGAGGGTTTGTAAGTTTTTTTGGATGATCCCGCACCTCCAAAAACGCGGTTCTTCTGATCTAGCAAGTTTAACTATCGTCGCCAAATCTTTCGCGTGAGAGCGCGAACATTCCTCGTAGAAATCTTTCTTAATAATTATTGGTGTATTATTTTTATTTAGATGTCACCTAAACAATTTCTATTATGAATTTTACTTTGGTGCAAAATTTATATAACCTAGGTCGAAAGTACATTTCCGAGTAATTTCATTTTTTCCTAATTATAGGAACTGATACAGGATTCTTGGGAAAGAAACCGAATTTTATTTATCTTCAACATCCTGTCACTCGTTTCTGGCTTGCACGCCAATAATAAATGGTTAGAAAGTACTGTAACTACGAAAAATTTCAAAAAAAAGATATTCGTATATGTCGCGGGTCTGTGTGAACCCCTGGATCACGAGTCTAGACGGTTTATTGGAAGTACCGATATTTTTTTCGAATGCTATATAACACGCAAGTCTCGAAAAATCATATCACCAGTTTCTATTGGCAAATTAAGGGACCACGAAAAAAAAATCCAAATTATTCGGTGATTTTTGAGAAGCTATATTTCGGTAAAAACTGGTCATATCTACACCTTGAAAACAGCATTTTGAAGCTTTGAGATTGTAGTTTTTAGTTTTCTTAGCAAACAATTCAGAGCAATGGTTCTCATGCTGTTTTTACAGATAGGGCCAGAAACACTTTTCTGCAAAGTTTTTGCTTTCTTCTTAGTCCACGGGCTTGAACATTGTTTTCCGTTTAAGCCAGAGTTCCCCAAACTTTTTTGTGTCGTAGACCCCTTGCCATGTTTGCCCGTGTTAGGTAGATCCCCTACTTATCTGATATTGATTTCCTGTAAATTTCTAACTGTAGTGAAGTTTAGTGTTAAAAACTTAAAGTAAAAACACAAGTTAATTTATACATTTATTAATTGAATTTAAATTAAAACTACTCAAAATAAAAATTTTTATCTGTTATGTAAAATATACGTAACATTAAATAAACAGGTGTGTGACCAATAAGTGCTCGCATTGGGAATAAGTGCCCGCATTGAAAAAAAATAAGAGGGATAAAATAAAAAAAAGTGAAAAATAATAAAAAAAAAGTTTTTTACTTAAAATAGTACAATAAGCGAGTTCGTTTATTAATTATAACATAAACGTATATTCTACAATAATTTCACTGTTAGTTTGATTAAATTCTGCTTCTTATACGTTTAAGTTATCTAAAAATAGGCAAAAAATCAACGAATTTTAGTGTGTACCTATCCTTGAATTTTTCAGAATAATTTAAAAAAAAATATTTCCTATAAAGGGGGGTTCTTTAAAAAAATCAATGCGGGCACTTATTCTCAATGCGGGCATTTATTGGTCAGACACCAATAAACATAAAATAAACTATAAATAAAATAACATAAGCAATAAGTCAATATTTTTAGTGAGAAGGATGAACCTGATGCTTTAATAATAAATTATCAACATTTGGCGTCAATTTTGTAAGGGTTACTCTCAAATCTTGAGATTGGTAACAGCGCTGAACCCCCTTTCCACTAGGTATGACGATGGAACGGAAATTAAAAATTTCCTCGCTATATTCCATAATACGGTATAAGTAACGGGTATGTTGTTTTGCAGCCAGAATTGCTGATATCCGTTTTTAAACTGAACCTTAAGTTCTTCGTTTGTACTTAGTTCAGTCAGTTCCTCTTGTATTATGACATTCGTTTCTTCTATGTCACCATATGGATTAATTATCCACGGTGGTATTACCATAGTCAAAATATCCTCAAACCTAGATTCAAAATCTGAATAGAGGCATTTAAATGTTGAACTTAAGTTGAAACGTCGTCTTCCTGGTAGCTTGTCTGTGACAAATTGGGGAACTGAGAAAATTCGCCCCGTCCAATATTTTGCTTCATTAGTTTAACTCTGGCAAGAAACGCTGATAAGATGGACTTTGTTTTAATCAAATTTAAACTGTCGCCTTGTAATTGCAAATTAACCATATTAAATTTTGTAAACAAATCTGTTAAATAGGCGATGTCTGTTTTCCTCTTCATTAAGTTTTCTTTTAAAATTTTATCTTTAGTATCCAGAAATTCTAAAATAGTCTCAAAAAGTGCAAAAAATCTTGTCAAACATAAGCCTTTCGACAGCCAGCGTACATCAGTGTGAAGGAGTAATTGATGAAAGTGTTCGTCAATTTCTTCACACAACTGCGCAAATAACCGCGTATTCAACGCGTTGCTTCGGATTCGGTTTACTGCATCAATGACTAAATGAAGTGATTCATGCAATCTAACTCAAATTTTTAGCAACTAAATGTTGTCGATGGATGACGCAATGTATTGCTAACACCCCTGACACATTTTGTTTTAAATAACATATAAATCCAAGATAACGTCCAACCATGGCAAGTGCTCCATCTTGTAGCTTCTGATATTATATTTGATAAAGGAATTGCTTTTTCAATGAAGTAATCCTTCAAAACATGAAATTTTGATTCACCTTTAGTGTCGGTTATCAAAGTTCTTGCGAAGAGCAGTTCTTCGTAGATTTCTTGATTCATAATAAAACGAACATATGCCAATAATAATGCTGCATTATCAGGTAAAGTTAACTCGTCCAGTTGTATAGAGATATGGGTCGTTTGCAAATAATTACATAAGAAGCTTTCAATATCAGAACTCATTTCATCAATAAAAACAGTTTTTAAAACCTCTTCAACGGCTGGCAAAATTAACTTCTCTCCGATAGTATGCGGTTTTCCGGATTTTGCTATAAGTAACGAGATATTGTAAGACGCCCGCAAACCATCAACATTTCTTTGTGACGTCGAAGCGAACATTCTGTCCAGTGTAGGTCTCTTCTGAAATTTATCTTTGAGTGTTTGAAAGTATTTCAAATCTTTCTCTGTTTTATCAGGGTGGCATCTTCTCAGATGATCTTGCAGTTTAGATGGTTTCATAGCGTCATTGCCCAAAACTTTGTTGCATAAAAGGCACATAGGCGATTGTTTGTCCGGCAATGATGGAATGAAGCCAAATTTCAAATAATCAACACTGTACCGTCTAAATTTATTTTTAGATGCGGACATGGCATCAGTCATCTGTGGGCAAAATTAAATTATTTAAATAAGACGGAAAATCCAGCAGCTATATATTAAAAATATTTTTTGATTTTTCTGAAAACATTCCATAATTCGAACATCTTCTTGCAACAATTAGCTCGAATTACGGAGATTGCACTGTAATTATATTACCGATTGCTAAAACTTTCAAAAAGAAACTATTGAGGAGTACTCGTGTAATTTTGCATGATTGAATATTTAACTACTAATAACTAAAGTCATGATTGGCGTAATTTATCTATTTTTGCTAACTACGAGTACAAAACTAAAATTTAATAAAAAATAATGTACTTACTTTTCTCCAGCACTCTCAAACAAAATCACACTGACTCACTATAATTTGTATGATATACTATCTGTTTATATTTTTTAAAATATTTTCTTAGCACTTTCCTTTTCAAGATCCAGGAAACGAATAAACGTATTTGTCCCACATTCGTATTTATAGAGTGACGAATTGAACAAGTCAGTGCAAGGTAGCGAAGCTCTGAGACTGCGACTCTCAGGTTTTTACATGTTCAAAATGTATTGCGACCACAAAGCGAATACCAACATCCTACAACTTACACAGTTTTATAAACATATATAATAAATATTTTACTTCATAGGTACTTTTGTAAATAATATATATGTTTTGATATTATAAGATAGTATGATGTAAGTAACTAGGTACTATCAGTGTGCGTGTTGGGATCCACTATCGTGGACCCCCATATTCATTTCATGGACCCCCAAATTTTTTTTCGCTGACGTAGACCCCTTGCAGGTTGTCATAGACCCCTAGGGGTCGATATAGACCACTTTGGGAATCAATGGTTTAGGCCTTCATTATGGATTATATAGCTTGTTAATTAAGCTTCAATATCATGTTTTTAAAATATTGATACGATTATTTGGCGCGGAGATATTTAACTTTGAATCAAAATGGATCCTTTTGTCATCGATCACAGATATATCGGTAACCAGTGCACAGAGAATGTAGGGTTATTTCAGAAAACTTTTTTCCCAATTGTTTTTTTTTAAATTGAAGCCATTACAGATATCCAACAGTGACAACAAAAGAAGAAAAATGATTGTTCTATTTCAACCAGATTATATGATGTTCTGATACAAAAATGTTGTCCCTTTGATTTCTTTCAATTTTTGACAAATCGGTGTGTAGAAACCGTACAATGGATCGATCTGCCGTCGTACAAGGTTATTAAAGATACATGGAGGTTTGAAAAAAACTAAAAACGTTATGCTTTTTATTAGCAGTTCAAGAAATGCAATAGATTTCCCAGATAAGGTCAAAATGTGACTTTTTTAAATCAATACTAAATGAACAAAAAAAATCCTCATTATAGGTTTATTCCAGTTTTCGGAAATACCCTTACATTCTGTCTGCGATCACTGGTTACCGTGTTATCGGTCGATGATGAAAGGATTCTTTTTCATTCAAAATCAGATATATCCACGCCAAATGATCACATCAATATTTAAGACGCAGAATATTGAAGCGGAATGAGCGGGTTATCCAGGAAAATGTCCAAGCCAGAGGACTACAAAGAAGAAAGCAAACATTTTGCAAGAACATTTTCTTGCGGTATCTGTTAAAATTGCATCAGAACCATTGCTCCTAAAATTTTTCGGCCTAAAAACCTGCATACTAGAATTTTGCAGCTCCAAAATGTTTTTTATAGTTTAATTCTCGATACGACCATTTTTCACCTGACAAAGATCACCGAAAAAGAACGTTAAAAAAATTAATTTGCGGGTTTCTGATCAGGTTAGGGCATGATCAAAAATTTCTTTGTAAGCTGAAACGTTTTAGGTTTAGACATTTACTAATCACTTATAATAATTGATTTCATCTCTATAATTCGGAAAGTGCTGCTAATTTTGATGAAATTTTGATGTCAGTTACAGCCATATCGAAAACAAAAACTGTTTTTGAGATTAAGCTCTGTTATTTTAACCATGACAAAGATGAAATACCATTGAAGCGTAAGAAACTATATAAAATTATTTTAAGAGCACGGGATTGAATGATCTGCGGACTTGCAATCCCTAGAGCATAATTAATAAGCCAGATGCATGAATCCTTTTTTTGAGTCGACAGTTCAAATAGCTTCAAGATATCGCTGACATCATTATTTTTTGTATCGGTGTCGAATAATCGCAAGTATCTTGTCATCAACTGTTGTGACGTCACCAAAGATGATATCGGCGGTATAAAGTAGATTTCCGATTGGAAAAAGTAGTTTTTACATTTTTGAAGTCTTCCCTTTATTTATAGTGCTAACTACCAATTTTTCCATCAACCACCAAATCCATAACTTTCTAGGATTGAGAATAGTGCGCCTACCAAGGATGCCGTCAGCATTTGACATGTTTGTACGAAGAACGAATATAAAAAATTCAAATGCAAACACATTAAAGGCTTTATTGATTTTTGTGGTGATATTCATGTGGCTGTACTTTGTCCAATTTACTACTGAGAACTTCATTGAATACATCACTTCGGACCGTGTGAGATGGAAACTTGTTACGTGGCATAGGTAATGATATTGTTGTTGAAATCAAAATTTGCTATTTATTTGATAGAATGAATAATTACCGTATGTACAGGGTGTACTGAAAGTAGGAACTTTCACTTTCAGAGTCAAATACGTTTGCAATGCCAAACCTAATTCGCGGCAAAACAACACCGAAACGCTAAACAGATATTGAAGGAAAATACTCGCTATTCATTTGGTAAGGAGTTTCAAGTATTGCCCTATAACATGTTTTGCCTGTAAACGCTGCTTGAAGCTGTCGCTGTTCGATTCAAAAACACGACTTTGTGTACCTCTTCTTAAATTTGGAACATTTGGGGCTGTCTGGGTCTACAACTGTGTTTAACAGACAACTTTTGCAAGACATAAACTAACATATGCAGCACTGAATAGGATCCTGAAGATGTTCATGTCAAGTTGATAACTTCGTTATTGCTCTAGTAATGTGCCAATTCCATCTTTTGAAATGCGGTTTGTTTATAAACTAGGTTATCCTAGAAACCACGTGATCGCCTGATTTGAATACTGATTCACATAGTCCTAGTAAAACTCTGTACTGTCTCATTTATTGTTTTTTGGAACCTAATATCTCGATTTGCTTAAAGCTTAAGTATACATGTTACTAAAAACATGCTTATTATCGCCTGACCTAAAATTTTGAGGACAACCTGTATATCCAAAAGATCTATATCACAGGCTATCAGGCCGAACGGCTTGATAGATTTTGACATATGAGGTATTGTCATATTCATCTTAGCAGTGCGAGTAATAATGGCTATATTTGAACCTCATAAAAACAAAATGGCGGATTCTATTGTTAAAGCTCAGCCTTAAAATTCCTTTTTCATACGCTACAGCTTAAGCGGCTTGATGGATATGACATAATGAAAACAAAAAAACATAAAAAAGTTAGCTTCTAATGAATAGATCTTCATAAAACAACAGCGAACATCATTAGAAGACCTGCGACAAAGAATTGTGAATGAGTGTCTTCAAATTACTCCTCAAACATTGCAAAATGTGCGGCAACGTTTTGACCACAATCTTTATTATTGCATGGAGAATCATGGTGGCCATTTTCAATATTTACTTGCCCAACGGGTCAGTTCATTCTTCATTTTTAAATTATTTTGCTGCCAAATGTATTGATCTCCACTAATGATGATGTATTAATTTTATATCATTATAAAGGGAATTGAAAGACCTTTAAAATAAGGTCACTCGACTCCCCCTTTCCATTTAAGATTTTGGGGGTGGTATCACCCCCGCTTAGGAGGCTGCACGTGCTAACGTGATTTTTTGCCAAACTTGTGTCTCCCTCGAAAACAAGATCGACGGGTCTGAGCGTTTTTCAAAAAAAAAATGAGCTTTAAATTACTTTACTGCCAAATGTATTGATCTCCACTAATGATGATATATTAGTTTTATTTAAGCTTTAAATCAATAAATCTTCAAAACTACTGAACTGAAGTACATTAATTTTATATCATTATAAAGGAAATTGAAAGACCTTTAAAATAAGATATCACTCGACCCCCCTTTCCATTTAAGATTTTGGGGGTGGTATCACCCCCGCTTAGGAGGCTGCACGTGCTAACGTGATTTTTTGCCAAACTTGTGTCCCCCTCGAAAACAAGATCGATGGGTCTGAGCGTTTTTCAAAAAAAAATGAGCTGCCAGTAAATGCGTTTCGTTTTTGATGCGCCACCCTGTATATTTGAGGGATGGTCTGGAGTTGAGCCGAAGTCACAGAATGTCTTTCCAGCTCCAGATTAAAAAGAAACGTCTCTGTAGTTTGGAAAGCTAAGACGGTTAGTCACTGTCAGAGTCGGAGATTTTGGTCTATACCAAGAAAAGCGTGACGAAACGATTACACTGCAAATAGTGGTGAAAAATATCAATATTTCTGTTAATCGTGCAGAAGGAGATTTTGTCATCGATGTTGTTCCCTCGAGTCCATACACCATCAGGTTTTTCTGAAAATGGAGCGAGCTTACGTCCGAAATTCTGAGCACTCTAGGAATTTATCAGCATTTTTTGTTTAGAAGGGAAAGGGGAAAAAGAGGAAAACCGACTGAATAGCTTAGGTCTGGAAACATGCAGATATTTTTAAAACGCAATGGAAAAAGCTCGCTAGCACTGCCTTGTTTGACTGATCCTTGTCTACCAGCTTTTTCTGGCTTGCGAATGATGTTAAATAGACCTGGAGTGGCCTATTGACAGACCTAGTAGTGAAATAAAATTATACATATCTTGGTAGAGAAGTGTGTCATTATTGTATATCATGGAGACTACAGTTCGTGCTGTAAAAACAACCCCGAAAATTGACGCTTGGAGTATCAGTGGCGCTTTGACAGGGTTGCCATGTTGGGCGATTTTTACTCAAAATTGGGGTTTGTGTATGTGGGGAATTTTTTGGGAATATAATGTTTTAGGGGACCTCTCACGTTTTGCAGATAGAAACCATCCCCCGATCTTTGAACAAGACCCAGCCCTTTCTATTAACTGTTATATGGGGGATTTTTTTTTTGAAAAGTAGCAATTCCGAGAGGTTTTTGTTTCTGGAAAAATTCTGTCCGACCCATCTAGCAACGCTGACAGACTAAGATGCGTCCGCTTGAATCTGCAGATATGTTTTCTTTTTTTGTGAAGCTTGTGGACTTTTTCAAGCTGGATTTTGGAAAAGACCACTGGAGTGGCCGAAACGTCAGTAAAGGAGAATTCCTATATATGTGGTTTCATTTATCGTCCAGAAAAGTATAGACCTTTACTAATGTAACTTCTGAAATAATTGAGTGTTATAGACTTGTATATGTCAAAATTTGAAAGTTGGAGTTAAAGTGGAATCCAATAAGATTTTAATCTGAATTGAATCGCTCGATTTGCAGATTTTATTCAGCTACACTCCAGCTGATGAAAGTCAGTGTCGGTGAAACAAGTGTGGACAGTTCGGACCATGTTGCTGCTGTAATAGTGACTAACAATTTTATAGTGATGGGGTGGATTATTGAAATTTACTTGGTTGCGGTGGTAAGTGATGCACAGTTGATGGTAATTTTGTCAATACATAATTTTTTCTATATACAGTGACAAAGAAAATAGAAAATCTGTAAAAATGATTTTTTTCACTACTATCCCGAAAATCACCATTATTGACCTCAATATCTTATTGAGAAGTTACTCCTAATCTTCGGATTTTGGGAAATAATGCTCAATGTGTTCAATGATGCTGGCGTTTCGACATTTATTTCATGTCCTTCTCCGGGCAACAAAATTCCTATAATTTCGACAAAATATAAAAATACCAAATAAAGTTATATGTTAAGAAAACAAACCAAAATAGACGAACACGCTAAGCACTGTAGCATACACAAACAATAAATATAAGAAGATGGAGTCATGCAAAAATAGAAACAGTTCAGAACTAAAATATGAGTAGAGAAAGTGCAGCATATTTGGGATACTGCAGGTAACTAAAATGCGTTTCGAAGATGGGGTAGTGACAGACAAATTAATTATAGCAGTAAGAATAAACGCTTATTTTATAGAAAGTGCAAATCAAATAGTGAAGACGATTGATGACGGTGATCCAAACTTATGTCCATTACAAGTATGTCAGAATTCATCAAGGAACCAATTTATGACAATTAACATCAACAATCTAAGAAAAGCTATCTCAAAATTGAAATCTAATAAAAGTCCAAGTGAGAATCTCTCAAAAAATATTCTAAATGATTGTTTCAGTATAATTGGAGAGAAATTATTATTATTGGTGAATCATTGTTTAGTACATATTGAATTCCCATCAAAATTAAAGTGTTCCACCATTACTCCTGTGCCAAAAGTTCAAAATTCTCAGCTGTATACAAATATGCTACCGATTAATGTCTTGCCCGATGTCGAGAAGCTGTTCGAAGCGATAATATACGAACAAATCATAGAATTCCTTGAAGAAACCAAAATTTTGATAAAACATCAAGCTGGTTTTAGAAAAAAATGTTCCACAGAAACGGCAATCCAAATGGTGGTGGAAGACTGGAGAAGAAGGATAGATGATAAAGAATATATTGCAACAATATTTTTAGACTTCAAAAGGGCATTTGAGACTATAGATAGGGAAAAATTGCTAGTGAAATTGCGTCACTATGGCTTTAAAGGATCAGTATTACACATTTTACAAAATTATTTAGTAAATAGAAGTCAAAAAACTAAATTTGGAAATATTATGTCAAGTGTTCAAAATATATCAGTAGGGGTGCCACAGGGGAGTAAATTAGGGCCGTTACTATTTATTATTTATATAAATGACATCTCTGACAACTGCAAAATTCAAATATTTGTAGACGACGCACTTATACATATATATATAGCACATAAGCATTTGGACACTGCTTTAGAACTGTTAAATAGTGATATTAAAAAAAATTGAATTGGTTAAATGCCAATAAACTTAAACTGAACACTTATAAAACAAAATGTATGTCAATATTGAAACATTTAGGTGACAATACAATTAGGCTCATGATTAATGATGAAAAAATTGAAGTAGTCGAGTCATTTAAATATCTTGGTATATATGTGGATAGTAAGCTACTGTTTCACGAAAATTATGAATACATTATTTCAATAATATCGAAAAAGATAAATTACATCTATAGAGTTTCCCATAATCTTAATATGTATTCCAAAAAAATTGTGTATAACACTATAATATTCTTCCCCATTTTTTACATTGTTCAACCATCTTGTTTACAGCAAATGAAAACATATTTTCAAAATTACAAATTCTACAAAATAAAGCTATGAGAATCATTTTAAATAAAAACGAATATACTAGGATTAAGTCTATGTTAGAAGAAATGCAGTGGTTGGATGTGAACAATTTCATATATTATTTAGTTCTCGTTTTCATATTGAAATTAAAAAATCATTTGTTACACAAAATTAAATAGTCATTATCATAACTACGAAACTAGAGGCAGTATAGATTTTCATCTGCAAAATTGTAATAGTAGCATAAGTAGTAAATCTATATTTCAAAAGGGAGTATTTGAATTTAATAAATTGAATAATGATATTAGACAAAGTTCGAATTTAAAAATATTTAAGATGAAATTAAAAAATCACTTTATGAATAATCAAAATACATAGTGACGTAATTTTAATTTTAATAGACAAGAATGTAAAATCACAGAAAATGGATTGAAGAAAAATATATAACCGAATCATTATACAAAATTTACATTGTAGCATTAATGATAAATAAATCTTCAGCAACAAGACAACTTGGAATACTTACCTAAATACATGTAAGCGCTAGCTGTATTTTTTTGCCGTGAATATAATGTCGTTAATCACACGAAACCACAAATTCTACTAAAACCAGGATGCCAGATTGACATTTCCTGCTACCAGCCACACGGAACGAGCGTCTACTTTGAAAACTTTTTCATTGCAATTATTTGATCTGTTATGTGTCCTTGCTAGTTTACAATCTTATTTTCATCTTGTGAATATATTTAGAATTAAAGATGGAGGATGACAAGGAACTTCAAGTTAGGATGTTATGTTGTTAGTTTGGAATAGGTACAGTGCTTAGCTACTATAAGTTCAAGCTAAATACTGATTTGTGATTATTGTGACTGATTTCTTAATAATTAATAATTATAAGCTATTTTGTTGAATAGATTAATTACTAACGACTGTAAAACGGTTACAAAGTTAGGAAATTTATTAGTTTCTCAGAAACGGTGTGAACAATTGTCAAAAAAAGGTTATTATAATTTGAAATACTATATTCTAAATTACCTACACCCTAAGTAAATTTACGCTTTTCAAATTTTTTATTTTAATGGGTTCCCTGTTTTTTGTTTTGTTTTGTTTATGTCATTAAAATTTAATAATTTCCCAAGAATTTAACGCATTATTTATTTTGCTATCCCGTATATCTTGGAATTTATTTCCAAAAAATCAACCAGTATTCCAAATATGCCGCAGTTCCTCTATAATATAAAAACAATAAATGTGTGTATAAAAAGAAAGAAGAGCAACCTTATCAAATGAGAGTTGCAAGAAACACTCCTCAGGGCATGAGGTACATTCGTCTGCGTCATATATACGTACAAACGTGAGATGGCACAGTCCGCTGAGCATTGTTTTACTTCTTACGCCTCTGGCAAGAAATTATGTATTGCAATTGCAAAGCAATATCGAAAATGAGATTTGTTAGTATATAATACTTTTCTTTAGGCGACAACGATACAGCATATAGGTTTTCACTTCAAAACTTAACTACTACTTTTTCTTGTTCATGACCAACTAAATACAACTTCCATTAAAATAAAATCATTTTACTGGATGGTCCTTTTTCTTTGTCACTAAATATATTTTTGTCTTCCTCCTCCAATAGGGACTACAACTATGGAATCAATACTCAAGTAGCAGGAACAAAAACGATGTCGTACGCAAGCAGTTCATGCGGTACGCAAGCTACAAACGTCTTCCACCCAATCTCAGGAAAAAGTTTTTTGCCTTTTACGATTTCAAATTCAAGAATGGAGTATACAAAGAACGGCATATATACAATAATGCATCACTCATTTTGAGACAACAGATACAGGTAGAATCAAAAAGCAACCCATATCCTCTCACCATTCTGCCTATCAGAGTAATAAAAACTGCATACACAGAAAGCATCATAAGCGTGTTATGGATTCTAGATACCCTGTTGCCTCTTTCCGATGCTTGATATGCTAGGAATAATGCCGACAATGCTACTAATGTCCTAGAAGACCTAGAGCTTACTTTATTGTTCTCAACACATTTTACAGTCAGTCAGATTTAAGCCTTTGTACTGTTAACATCACAACAATATTGTAATAATTTTGGAAAAGTACATTTTTGAGATTTGTATTTTAGAAAAATAGACTTTCCCACTTTCCCACCCCCTACAATCCCTCAGCCCACTACACATTTTTTCAAAAATGACCAGGATCCTTTGTAATGTCAAAAAACAAAGTTTGGGCGATTTGCAGCCAGTCCGACAGACAGACCGACAGACACATCGACGTTAATGAATGACATGGTGTACATATCATATAACATCCAAATACCTCATTTTCGAAAATTTTCGCGATTATAATATACTAAGTGACATATAAATCCGAACACCCAGTTTAAATGGTTTTATTTTAATAAAATTTTTTATAAGTACTTAATGAAGCATAATAAGTAAATGATAAAAATTTCAAAATGATTGCACTGCTCTCTACTGTACCTGTAGTGTATTAAAATGACCGAAAATTTTTTCTTAGTGCAATTTTTTGCTTTTTGCATAAAAAAAATGATTCTTCGCACTTTTCAACATAAAAAGCTCTCTTGTGAATTTTCGTTATAGTTAGCCGTTTTTGAGATATTTCGATTTTTAAGGTTCGATGCATTTTTAATTATTTATGATAAAATTACGTTAAAAAGTCAGTATCTCGATAATTTTTAGAAGTAGGCTGTGCCTGCAAATATTTTTGAAATTGAAAGCAGAATAAGGTTAAACGTCAATTAGTTGACAGTTAGTTTTGTTGTCTGTTGAAACCTGAAACGTTTTTTTGCAATTGTGAATGCACGAAATTTAGTTTCTTTTACCTGTTTTTTTTGTAAGTTTTATAAAAATGCCATTTTTATTCTCCAATCAAGAGTTAGCGGATATTCATTTTGTGTATGGCTTTGTAAATAGAAACGCAGCAGAAGCAGCCAGAGAATACGCACGAAGATTTCCAAACAGACGACATCCAACTCGCTCAGTATTTGTAAGAGTGCATCGCCAAATAATTGAAAATGGCTTTGGAAATCTCCAAAGGGATCAAAACATAAATGTTCGTCAGCGCAGATTTACCCGTATGATTCTGCGTGAGTTTGATAGAGATCCGACCACAAGTGTTAGGAGAGTTTCTGGTGCCTTGGGAATTTCAGCAAGCCATGTTCACCGTGTTCTTAGAAATGACCATAGACGTCCTTACTATTTGCAACCTGTGCAAGGACTACAGCCAGGGGAAGGAGAACGAAGAATCATATTTTGTCAGTGGATTCTTGATAGAACTGATAATAATAGGGAGTTTTTAAGTAACGTTTTATGCTTCACTAGACGTGGAGTGGTAAATTTTCATAATAAACATATTTGGTCGCATGAAAATCCGCATGCAGTTCGGGAAAGAAATTTTCAGCATGAATTTAGTGTGAACGTGTGGATTGGTATCTACCGTAATCGACTATTTGGATTTGTATGTTTGTCTTAACTATCCAATAGCATTTTAGTTGTAAATAATTAATTTAATTTGTTAAAAATAGTATTGGAAAATTAAACAAATTAATATTCTGTTTTTCTGTGTTTATTTGGAGTTAGGAATTATTGCTGTGTTTAAAAACACAATCTAAACGATCATCTTAATTACTTGTAATGCCCAAATCGAAAATGTAAAAAAAAATATTATTTTCCCATAAATAATTAAAAATGCATCGAACCTTAAAAATCGAAATATCTCAAAAACGGCTAACTATAAAGAAAACTCACAGGAGAGCTTTTTATGTTGAAAAGTGCGAAGAATCAGTTTTTTATTCAAAAAGCAAAAAATTGCACTAAGAAAAATTTTTCGGTCATTTTAATACACTACAGATACAGTAGAGAGCGCCCTCTAGCGGCTACAGTAAAACTATGCCCACGGTTCGTTTTGTCGTACCAAAAAACCCTTGTATACCAATTTTCACTGTTATACATCAAATATTGTTCGAAATATTAAAAAAAAAACTATTTTAAAAAGTAAATTTAAACACCCTGTATTTCGGAAGCCACGCATTTTTCGACCCATGTTTATATAGACTTTATGCATTAATTTTAAAAGTTCTGTCGAATCTTAAAGTTATGCAACAATAAACTGAAACACCCTGTATATCTTTATATCGATTGAAACAAGAATTTTTGAAAATATTTTAAATTGCTTCGGTATCTATCTAGCTATCAACGAGCCAATTCGTATCTTCACAAATGTGAATGACCATAAATCTATCTCTTCCATGGACTATACACCTTAGGAAAAACCATTGTTATACATGGGAAATCATTTCTTGGCAACAGCGCATCGGCTCGTCTACTTTCATCGCTATTCGTACATATTTCCTACCGTTAAAGCGAGTGCCGTCGTCAAGTGCGATAAGGGATTCATGACTCACTCTGCGGTTAGGTTTTGTGTAGGAAACGTGCGTCTTTATTTAATCCAAAATATCTTGAAAATGTACTCGCAAGAAGAAAAGTTTCAAATGATAGAATGGTACATCCAGAATAATTCAGCACGCGCGGTTGTTGAATTATTTGCGGTACGCTTCCCAGATCGGCCAATTCCGTCTCACGCAACAGTTATAAATACCTACGAAAATTCAAGAGGGTGGGCTGCTTACATAAGTGCCATAGCTGCATGCACCCTGAAGGTTGGAAACCAAAAATTAGCGAGAAAAGGGAGGAGATCGAAACTGCTGTTTGTGCCGCTGCAGAAGTACCTGAGCCATGCTCAAGCAGAAAAATTGCTGAAATGATACCAATAGCCGATCTCACACCCAGAACAACAAGAAATATTTTGCACCGCAACGGCTATCATAGCCAAGGTTGGAACGGTTGAAGAAATATTTCCTTTAGACAAATACCGTCGAATGGAGTTTTGTGAAACGGTCATGGAGAAGGCGAACAGGGATGGAAGTTTTATTGGTAACATTTTGTTTACTGATGAATCCACATTCCCTCTCCACGGTCATCACAATCCTTCAGTCGTTCGGTATTGGTCTCGGGAAAATAAACACCTCAGTATTCCCGTCCGCACGCAGTATCCACAGAAACTGAATGTGTGGGCAGGAATTCTAGGTAATAACATTATCGGACCGTTCTTTATTGATGGAACTCTTACGGCTGCAAAATATTTGGCGTTACTACAGACGCAGATTGTTCCTGCAATTAGGCAGCTTGGCATTGATCTCGCTAATATTTGGTTCCAACAAGATGGATGCCCGGCGCATAATGCGGCGATCGTACACACTTACCTTGAAAGTGTGTTCGGCCACCGGATTATTGGCGGTAACGGAACAATAAAATGGCCTCCTAGATCACCCGATCTAGCGCCCAATGATTGTTTCTTGTGGGGTTATGTGAAAAGAACTGTTTACACTTTCAATGAGAGAGCAGACAATTTGCATAACCTACAGGTGAAAATCGTTGAAGCGCTCGGGCAAATACAGCCTTCTACCCTCTTGAGAGTTTGTCAGGAGCTTTATAACCGCCTGACATACTGTTCATTGAATGAAGGAGACGTTTTTGAGCCCCAGCTGTGAAGGACCATTTGAAACATTTGTGTGCATTATTGCGTTTTATTTTTGAGGACTTATTTTTTTGTTAGAATATCTTTTTATTTTCGTTACACATTTTTAAGAGTGTACTATTTTTTGTTAGAGTGGGTATCTTCTTATTTTTGTTACGACGCTGCCAGATAGTATCCTACAATCGAATGTCTTTCACGCACCTACATACTTTTGTATATTTCCATCTCTCTTCCTCATCATAATGTATAATAATGGTTTTTCCGAAGGTGTATATATCTTCCGCCAGGATATTATCTTGGTAACCGTTTGTCTCAAACCTTTACTCTGAAAAATGTTACTCAAATTATCGACACACCAAGAAAAAATTTGACGATGCATTTTAGGAAACTTGTCTTACTATCTGTAAAAGACAGACTGGCTGCACGTTTATTCTGAATATTGACAAAATGTATAAATATTTTGCAACACCCGTTAAATGGTGTTTAGATGCAACATGTCCCCATCAAACTAGCAACTCAGCATCACATTCGCCATGAGTGGTATTCAAATGACCTTAGAATTTTAAAGTCTGAGCTAGATAACATTTTTACATGTCTAACTGAATACTCTTTACAAATAAAAAAAGACCGAGTACAAAATGAAAATCAGGAAGTCTAAACGTAAATACGCTTCACACAAAATACAGACAGCTTCAAACAAAACAAAGGAGACCTGAAAATTCATAAATCGTTAATTGGGCCGAGAAGCTAACAAAATAGAAATTGATGAGAAAGATAAAAATATTATTAGTAATTGTTTCGCGGACTATTTTTCAAATGTATGCAATCAGATGATAGCTGACACTTTTGGTCAAAACATAGTATTACCCTGCACTCTAGCAGTTTCACGTCCTTCCAATTCAATCTTTCTGCCATACATTACAGAAAATGATGTTTTGAGGACCATAATAACCTTAAAGGGCAAAACAAGTTCTGGTATGGATGAAATTACTTCCAGAGTATTAAAATCTATTACACCGTATATTTTGCTACCTCTGACTCATATGGTAAATTTTTCCTTAAGCAGTAAGCTTTTTCCCGATATGTTGAAGCTAGCTATAATTTTGCATCTTCACAAAAAGGGAAATCTGCAGGATATAAAACATTACAGGCAAATATCACTACAATCAGAATTTTCTAAGGTCATTGAGCAGAGAGTGTATACAATTATTACTGACTTTGCTGTAAGATTCAACATCTTAACTGATGCCCATCATGGATTCAGGCA